TTCTCTCTGTCTCTGGACTCCTCCTCTCAGTCTCGGGTGTGATCGGACAAGTCACGAGCTTGCCTGTGCAGAGCCTGCTGCTGCCTGAGGACTGAGGTAAGAACAAGTTAGGATTTATTTTTTTTTTGAAGTTAGGAGGTCTATTTTTTTTATTTTGCAGTTAGTAGGGCCTTTTTTTTTTTGAAGTTAGGAGAGCCTTTTTTTTTTGAAGTTTTGTTTTTTCACTTCAAAACAAGATATGTGCAGTGTGCATAGCAATTTGTTCATAGGTGTTTTTTTTTAACTATAGTCCGGCCCTCCAACGGTCTGAGGGACAGTGAACTGGCCCCCTGTTTAAAAAGTTTGAGGACCCCTGGCATAGAGGCAGAGGTGCTGAGGAGGTTGCTACCTGGATTCTGCCTTACATGTAGTGTTCAAACTAAACGAGAGATTTTCTGATTAAATCCAGAGAGTTTGCTTTCCTTGAAGAATTGGCAAGACCTGCACATACACTGAATTAGAGCTAGGTGGAGGCTGCTTGCCCTGCCCAGTGCATGAGGCTCATGTCCCCACAAACTCCACTGTCTCCCTGGCCCCTGGGTACCTTTGTGTGATTTTGACAGCTCTGTGATGGGGGATAGATGTCTGCATGGCAGGTAAATGTCATCCCTTGTTCCAACACTCTGGACTTTATGGTGAGCACTGGGTTGAGATGGATTCTGATGCAGAGTTCCCAGAGGCTGGAGGGTAGGGGTTCCAGGACATAGGAATGGAACCTGGGATCAAGGGTAACCCAGTCAGGGACTGGGAATTGGCAAAGGTGTTGCCTGGAGTGAGGGGCAGGGACAGTCCTAAGCTTCGCTGCCCCTCAGTTGTCTAGATAGATGGTGAGAACTCTGCTTGGCAGACAGTGCTCTTCCTCTCAGTGCTGTTGGGCCACAGCTCTACCATGCAGCTCCTGCTGGCCCTTGGTGCCAACCCAAACCAATGAGTGGACAGGTGGTGATGCCCCCATACTCCCAGGGCCCTGGGTCTGAGCCCCAGAGAGCCAGGGCTCTCTTTCCCAGAGGACTCTCACTCCTTGATGACCCTCCTGTCCCCAGTGACCCCTCTTGACCTTTCAATTAACCCCTTCTTGTCCTCCAATGATTATTCCCATTCTCCTGGTGCCCCTCATGCTCATAGTGATCCTCTCATCCTCTCAAAGACCCCACTGTGTCCCCAAGCTATCCCTCCTGTCCTGATATCCACCTTCTATGTTCACAGTGACTCTTTTCATCCCCCAGTGCTCCCATTCTGCCACCTCTTGTCTCTGGTCCCTTTTCTAATCCACTCATGTCCTCATTGTTCAGCTGCTGCCTCAATTGCAGCACACTTGTGCACACAGATGTCTTCTTGGGCTGCAGCCTGGTGGTATGGCATGTGCTGCAGGTGGGGGGTGACCTGCATCTGCAAGAATAGCACTCCTTGGGACTGGGCAGAAAAGTTTGGTGCCAAGCAGAGCCAGGATGTTAGCAGCGGCCCAAGTGGACTGGGAGCATCAGGGCCAGCACCTTCACTCTATCTCACCCCACGTGCCCCTCACCCAGGAGCTTGAGATATTACAGCCCTGTCATTCCCACGTATTAGCAGTAGCACAGGGCGGTGAGTTGGCATGCCCTGCATCACTGGGCCAATTGCAGACTGGCTCTGGACATAGCCTGTGTGGCTCCCTGTCCTTGCTGCGGCTGGTGCAGACAGGCAACTGTCCACACTGTGAAGCCGCCACTCCCAGCTACCCAGGCTTACCTTCAGACTGCCCTTTACCCCAGGGCACTAAGGCCAGAGCAGATCATGAAACCCCCCAAATCCAGCCTCGGGGTTCAGTCAGCAGGAGAGGTTGGCAGAGCAGGGAGCATCACTGTCCTCTTCATGCCTCATAGTCCCGAACCCTTCCCCAGCTGAGCAGCCTGTAGCCACTGGGGCTGGTAACAACTATAGCCCTCATGGGCCCCAAAGAACAGCTGCCAGCCTAGGTGAGCCCTGTCACACTTATGAGAGCAGTTCACACACTAAGTGATAGCTCCTCCCACACCCCTGCCTGGCTGTCAAGAAGAAAGCTCCAAAGAGAGTCCAGACCTCCTGTTCCCCTCACAAGGAAAGCTCTTTCATCTCAGATGTACACTCTCTCCCCTCCCCATCTCCAGCCTCCTATGAAGGGGCCAATCAGAGCGTGGAAACAGACGGCTCCTGGAACGCAGGCTGATATACTGTTGGCTGACCTTCAGCACTGCAGGTATGCCACCCCCCCCTTCTCCCAGGTCAACCTAGTCTCCTGCTTGCCCTCCTGACTCAAGTGTTTATAAACAAAGGACCAGGGAGTATGGCAATGGCCATGGTTACAGTCTTCAATTCTGGACCAGTACCTGGCATGAAGCCCTCCTACTGAAGTGACCCTCCTCCCACTGAATAGTGGGTACCCAGTTCTGTGTGTTGTATCTCATAGGCTGCAGAGAGGAGGTAGGTGTACCACAAACAGGGAACAAACTGGGTGCTGGCTCTCCTGTCCAGTTGCTGGTATAGATCAACAGCCTCTGGCACATGGTGGTCTGTGCCCAGGGGTAGCCTCCACCCCATGCAGACTGGGGCCTCTTTGTGAGTAGCCTGCTTTCTCCTACCTAGCACCCTGCACCACCCAACCTGCTGCTGCTGATGGCACTGAGCCCTACGGCAGCCCTGTTGGGGCTGTACTTCCTCTTCAAGCCCATGTGGCTGGGCTCCCATGTGGCTCTGCACACGCAGGGACCAGGCAAGGGCAGTCTCGCACTAAGCCAGGCCTGCTGCCCAGCCACTGCTACTGCAGGCAAAGAGGCTCTGTTGTTTCTCCAGGCCCACTGGCATGCCTGTGGCAGCCTCAGTTTGCATCTGTGCAGCTGGTGAGGCCAGGCCTGGCCAAAGTGGGCAGCCTGGAGCATGGGCGCTCACTACACCAGTGCTGGCTGCAGCCCAAGTGAGTACATGTCTCACCTGCCTGCCCAGTGTTCTTGTCTAGTGGTCAGTAGCTTAGCAGGCCCTTCATTCTCCATAGGCCTCAGCAAGGTTACCTCTGGGGAGGCCCAGGCCCAAGACTACCCCACCTCCCGAACTGTACCCATGGCTGCCACTTGAGCTCATGTGCGGTGATATGCCTGTGGCCACCTCAGACCTCTACAGCTGCTGCACCCTGGCCCAGGAGGTCTTCACTGGTCAGTAAGTGACTCTACACACTGCCCTATTGAGGTACCTGGCCGGTTTGGATCCTCCAATCATGCTTCCTCATAAGAGAGCTGGACTGGAAAAGAGCGCCTGAGGTAAAGGCTAACCTGGAGGCAGTCTAGAGCCTGGCCTTGGAACCCTTGGTGCCAACCCCCTACCAGGCCTTGGTTCGGGCTGGGCTGGACCAAGAGCCTGCTGACTGGTGGGCAGCCTGCAGAATACCCGATACCAGCCATAGGAGGCCATGGCCCAGGTATAGGACAGGTTGGCAGGGGCGGGTAGTGGCCGGGGAACCTCCGCAGGGCTCATGTTCCCACATCCAGCCTCCTTTCAACAGGATTTGTCTCCTGGGGTGAGCTCTCTGGTGAATTGGACCACACTGTGCCCTGCACTCCAGGGTTCCCCACCAATTTAGAGAGCAAAGAGGGGTGGTGGCAGGTGCTGAGCACAGCTTGGTTGTACCCCCTAATTCCAACCAACTGGTTTATACCCCCAGTGACACTGTACTATGAGCTGGCTCCCAGAGGCAAGACTATGCTCAGACCTGACATCCCAAGGCCCCTCCCCATTCCAGGTAGGAGCCAGGGCAGGGATGTGGAGAATCAAGGGAGCTGTGGGGCACCTAGGCCACCCATGCCAGCTCTCTGCTGGCCGTGAAGACTCCTGAGGTCACAGGCCACAGAAGAGCCCAGAGGGGCCCAGCCTAGGACTCTGGCAGCATCCCCAGTGCCAGCTCTGACCTGTGCCTAGGCCACAGCCGCACAACCAGGGTCGGCCTGCACCACTGCCTGGAGCCCAGCTCAACAGTATGGCTATCCCTAAAGGTCTGTGTGACCATTCAGTCCCTAACTTGTGACCCATCCCCCCAGTAGTCACCAGTTTCTTTGGCTGCCTCTCCTCTGTACAGAAACCACTTCCTGGGACTCCCAACCGTCCCCTCACTGACCTGTGAGCCCTGACCAACCCTGCTTCCCCCATGGCTCTGCACTGCACTCCAGCCTTCAGGACTCAGCTTCCCTGCCAGGGAGCCAGGGCTCTGGTGCAGCTCTCAGCCAAAATCCCAGCTCTGCAGGGAGGCTTCCCATACCCTGGAGGCTGCTGGCAGAGAAGGCCACCAGGGCAGGTGAAGCAGAAGACCCTGAGATCATGCCCTGACCCCCCATCCCCCGACACACACACACACGCACACACACACACACACACCACCAGGTCTATCCTGACCCCCATGGCCACTGGTGGCAGCTCCAGCCTTTTCCCCTAAGGCAGCCAGCCCTGAGCAGAGAGGAGGTCCCTTCTTCAGCAGGCACAAGTGAGAAATGGGCCCTGGTAGGAGGGACTGGGGGCCCCTTCCTCATATCTGAGGTAACCCTCAGTCCATCCCTTCCCCACTACTCCCCAGGATGGATCTGCTGGAGATTATAGCAGAGCTGCAAGGTGGATGCCAACTCGGAGGCAGGCCCAGCCTGGACCCCACTCCTGACAGATTCTTAGGATATCCACGGCCCCTCTGCAGTTACTGTCCCTAAGAGTCTCTCAAGAGTGACTCCCCACTCAGCACCTGCTGAAGTGATAAAATGATAAAGCAGCCCAGCCAGTTTGGCTCGGTGGTTGAGCGTTGATCCATGAACCAAGAGATTACCAGTTCCATTCCCAGTTGGGGTATATGCCCAGGTTGCAGGTTTGATTCCCAGAAAGGTGTGTGCAGGAGGCAGCCAACTGATAATGCTTCTCTCTCATCGATGTTTCTATCTCTCTATCCCCCTCCTTTCCTCTCTCTCTAAAATCAATAAATACATATTTAAACAAAAATGATAAAGCAGCCCATTGCCTCTTTGTTTACTGAGCCTAGTCTCAGCATGACACTAGCAGCCACATTTTCACCATTTTTATTCATTAATTTTGTCAGATGGTTTAGTGGGGCATGTGGGAGATGGGCAGGAGTTGTCCCCCAACCCCTGTGCATAGGTCAGGACATGCTGGGGGCTCCTGGAGGAAGAGGAAGGGCAGTGTGTCAGCCTAGCCCTCAGATTTGTGTGAGAGCCCCATGATAGAGGTTGGTGGGGGTGCCCTTAGTCCAGGGTAGGGAAGCCATACAGGTTAGGGATCCACATCAGAAGCAAGTTACAAAGTTAGAAACCTGGAATAGGGGTCAGGAGCTCAAGAAAATACAAAACAAGGAATTGAGTTGGGCCAAGATCAGTGAGAAGGGAAGGAAGGTCTCTGCTCTGGTTCAGCAGTAACTTCGGGTCTGGCCCTCAGAGTGAAGGGACCAGCTGGGAGTGGGGTAAGGGGGTGGGGGACCAGCCCCCTCCCTTCCTTGGCCCCCATTCCTGTACAAGGACCCTCGGTGGTGCTTGCCCTGCCTCCCATAGGCTGGTGGAGCTGCCCTGTAGTACAGGAGAGGCTCAGGAGAGCCCCAGGCCCCAGGCACCCTGTGAGGGGTGTGAGGATCCCAGAGGGCCCTCTCTTTCTGGGGAAGATGGGGGGCTGTGGGGCCTGAATCTGAACGGCTATGGGGATGAGCAGGAGGGGAAGAGGAGCTGGAAGAGGTGGATGAGGGACCCCTGGGCCCTAGGGCTAGGTTGACATAGAGGGGTTCAGGCCGAGTGGGGCACCTGGCAGGGTGCTGAAGGGCTGAATAGCCCAGGTGGTTATGGGGAAAGCAGGAGGGGGGTGGTGGGTAGCTGAGTAGGAAGTCAGGGGACCTATGGAATGGTGGTGATTGGTCAAGCATGCCATATGAGGCATTGAGTCTATCTGGTGGCATGGAGTGAAAGGGACTCCAGGACTGGGTGGTGCCAGAGTAGGGGGACCCCTCACCCGCCTCAATCTCATAGTACAGGTTCTCTCCCCTGTCAAGTGGTGCAGGGGGACCCAAAGGGCTCCTCCAGACTGGGGTTGGGGAACTGGGCTGGAAGGATGAGGAGCCCAGGGGGTACAAGCCTGGTTTTGGGACCCCAAGAAAGGGTGGCAGGCACTCCTGGGGAGCTGAGGAGAAGCAGCCAGGGGCTCTCACGGAAGAAACAACCTGGAGGAGACAGAACATAGGAACTGGGACAATGTCTCTGGCACATCCCTGAAGCCCCACCCTTCCTGAGCTGGGCACTGACCTGGGCAGAGCTTCTGTGTCCCCTCCTTGAGATCCCCATGGGCCGCTGGCTCCTCACCAGGCTCCCAACACTTTGTTGCCGTGGTAGGGAGGGTGAGGGTCCTGGAGCCCAGGCTTCAGGGTGGGCTAGGGAGGGGGCTGGTGGCCCACTCCCTGAGGTCCCGAGGGGCTCACCACCCACCTTCAGGGACAGTGAGCAGTAGAAAGGGGAGCGGGGAGCCGATGGGGTACTCCCATGCTCCTGTTGGCTCTGTTTCTGGGCCACCTGCTGAGCCTGCTCAGCCAGGGCCAGGGCCATGAGGCGTGCTGGGTTCTTGGGGGGTGGAGGTGGGGCCCCCCCAGGGCGCAGGAGGGACAGGGGTGGGGGCAGTGGTGAATCCATGACAGGTCCTATACAAAGAGGAATGGGAAGGGGCGTCAACCAGGTCTTGGATGCAGCCTCAGGGTCTGTGAGGGTGTTGGATGGGTTGAGTAGGACTCACCATGCTGTCGTTGGGCTTCCCCGGGACCAGGTAGTGCTAGGTTGCTGCTGACCTCCTGTTGACAGGTGTCACTCAGCTGGGCTTCAGCTCCATGTGGCAGCAGGGGGATGACATGGGGGCACAGGCCTGGGCTGGGGCTGAGTGCTGGTGTTGGGGTGAGTGAGGCAGGTGTTCCCCCAGCCCCCAGCAGCTCCAGAACAGCAGGTGGCACTGATACAGACAGGGGCTCTGAGATATCCAGGGCAGTGGACAAAGCAGGGCTGGTGGGCCCATGGGGCAAAAGGGCCTGGGAAGTTGCCCTGGGTGGAAAGGCAGAAGCAGAGGCTGGGGGGGCCGGGCTGGCAGGAGGTGCAGGGTCCCCTGGGGTAGGGCTGCTGCAGCGAAAGGTAAGGGGATCAAAGTCGAGCCCCCGGAGCCCCTCCAGGCAGTGAGGTGGGCTGAAGTCCAGATCATCACCATCATCTAGCCAGGCTGAGGTTCGGTGAGAGGGGGAACCGGAAAGTGCTCTGAGCCCAGCTGCTGAGGATGAGGAGGACTCAGAGGATGAGGAGGATGCAGAGGAGGACGAGGACAGGCTCTCACAGGAGCCCGCCGGTGCTGGACCCACAGGGAAAGCATCACTGCTAGAGTGGGGTCGCCGTAGCCTGCTCAGCCTCTGGAGGCCTGGGGGGGAGGAGGGGCAGTTAGGGGTCAGGGCTCAAAAGTTTACATACCCACACATTAGTGAGAACAGGGCACACAACCCAGGAGGCTGGGAAATAACATGCAGAGGCACTTCCCTGGGTAGGGCCACAACGGCTGTGAACCCAGGGAGAGCTGTTCAGACTCACAGTGACAAAGGAAATGAATGGCAAGTCCCTGGGGAGAACCATTCCAGACCCAAGGGCCAGAATAAAGTCTGACAACCCCACGGCTATGAGCATGAGACCAATAGGATCCCAAACCAGGCTGCTGGGAGTACAGGCTGGGGCGACCACATTTGGAAAACAATTGGGCATTTTCTTGTTCAGTTGAACATGCATATACACTAGAGCAGTGGTTCTCAACCTGTGGGTCGTGACCCCTTTGGGGGTCGAACGACCCTTTCACAGAGGTCGCCTAAGACCATCGGAAAACACATATATAATTACATATTGTTTTTGTGATTAATCACTATGCTTTAATTATGTTCAATTTGTAACAATGAAAATACATCCTACATATCAGATACTTACATGACGATTCATAACAGTAGTAAAATTAGTTATGAAGTAGCAACGAAAATAATTTTATGGTTGGGGGGTCACAACATGAGGAACTGTATTAAAGGGTCGCGGCATTAGGAAGGTTGAGAACCACTGCCCTAGAGTATGTGTAGAGCTCTCTCAGGAGTGTGGGCATGGCAGGGAGCACCCATAGAGCCCCCAGATCCATCAGGAGTGGGATGGACAAGCAACTCCCGATGAAATATCCACATGGAACACTAAAGATCAGCAGGCAGGAGTGAGCCTGAGCTATACCTGGCAACACGATGGTATCTGTAATGCAGTGGTGAATGAAGTTAAGTTCTACATACAGCACTAAACCCCCTTTCTTATGATACCTTTAATTGACATTTTAAAATGACTAGAACTGCTCAATGTTTATGTATACATCTGTACGTGATAAAACCTTAAAACCAAGGATGACAGCCCTGGCCAGTGTTGCTAAGTGGTTAGAATTAAGCCCACTCACCAGAGAGTTCTGGGTTCAATTTCCAGTCAAGGGCATGTACCTGGGTTGCAGGTTCGATCCCCGGCCCTGGTCGGGGCATGTGCAGGAGGCAACCAATCAATGTGTCTCTCTCACATAGCTGTTTCTCTATCTCCTCTCTCTCTCACCCATCTTCCTCCCTTCTACTTGCTCTTAAAAGAAAAAAAGAAATCAACGGAAAAAATACCCTCCAGTCAGGATTAATAAACAAACAAAAAAATCAATGAGGATGATGAGCATCTAATCTAGAGGATGCCTCTGGTGGATAGGCAGCAGGTAGGAGAGGGGAGGAGCTTGAACATAAAGTAGTGGGGGTTCTTCTAGTTCTGGCCAGTGGGTACATGGGTGTTCATTATATTATTTATATTTTTTCAAAAGGAATGAATAAGACTGTTTGAAAGGACCCTGAATGGACCATTGATCACAGTGTGTTATGAACTAAGGGTGATGCTTTATCCAATTCATCATACCCAATGTCCAAATTAAAAACTATAAACCACCAAAACCCCCAAATTTGAAGTACAGCATTTGGAGGCTCCACCCCACCACAGGCCAGGCCACCCTGAGCTCACCAGCCCCGCTGGCCTGAGATGACAGAGACTCCTCACTCTTGGCAGATCGGAGTGTGACTGTGTCAGGTCGGTTGCCTGCAAGGAGATTAGAAGGGTCACAGAGGCACTCCAGAGTGCCTCCCCCACACCATGCTGACTGCCCAACCTCTGACCTGAAGGCTGTGGTGGAGCACGCATCCCCCCCAGCCAGGGAAGAGGCTTCTTCCGGGGAATGCTGGGGCCGCGGCCCAGTGCAAAGAAAGTCTTCCAGCTGCTACCACCTGGCTTCCGCTGTTTCTGGCCTCTCTCCCCTTTCCTCCTGGAGTTTGGGTGAGACACAGGAGGCAGTCTGAGAAGCTGGGACCTCAAGGCTTACCCCTCCACTCCCCTGCATCCCACTCACCTTTCCACAGGAGAGTCTGAAGCCTTGGGAGCTGTGGATTCATTGGGTGTCCCCAGTCGGCCCTGGGTTCGAGCCTGGGCTTCCTCCAGCGTCAACAGGCGAGTGGAGGGGCCACTGCCCACAAGGGACTTGGGCCTGGGAAGGAGGCAGCGGCCTGGGGAGTTGGGAAAGTGGGCAGCTGTCAGCCCAGAGAACGTTCAAGGTAACAGGTAAAGCTAAGTGCTACTGCCCAAGCTCTGGCCCCAAAGCATAACCCCCACCCCGGCTGGCAAGGCAGGGAACCAGAGAGGATCAGGTGGGAATGGGTGGGCAGCAGGCAGGTGAGCAGGAATGAGGCAGAACCAGCTGATGAGGCAGCTCCCAGCAGCCAGCAAAGGCAGTGGCTCTGGCTTCAGTTACCTCGGGCCAGAGGACCCTCCGATGTGCTGAATCCTGATTGGACTGGGGTCCCGGGCAGGGTGGGGAGTCTGGGTGGGGCCTGGGCAGGGTCAAGTCTGGGGACCTCCCACCTCCTCCCAGGTGGACCTCTGGCCCCAAGCACCCCCAGGAGCTACAAGGGGTGGAGGAAGAACGATGTCCAGGCCAAGAAGTGGGGATCCTGAGCGTAGGAGCTGAAATGAGAAGGGGAGGGAGGGGAGGGAGAGGCCGGGGCGGGGTCCTCAAGGAGCCAGGAAGGAGGTACAGCTTCAGTGGGTAGGGACAGGGCTAGGAGCCCTCCTGCCCTCCCACTGCAGTCCTGACAATGAGGAGGCAGTAGCCAGGACATCAGGAGATAGGACAAGCATACCTGCAGGGTCGAGGCCAGCAGAGGTGAAGGTGTCACTGAACAGGACATCCACATGGGTGAGCAGGAATTCCACCACCACTGACTGCACCCGCACCTCACGGAAGGCTGCTGCCCCACCCAGCCCCACTGACTCCAGCTCCATGGACCTGAATGGGAGAGGGAGAGGGAGGTCAGGTGCCTTGAGCCACAGCTGGAGGAGGGGGAGGGTTGTGACTAGGTTAGGTAGGGAGCTAATAGAAGCAAAGACTGTCATTCAACAGCTCTGATTTTATCAAATTGATCACATCTACAACTTGGTTCTCAACTTTTCCCCAGCTTGCTCCCTCACCACCTTCCCCATCTCAGTCAATGCAGTCCTTCAGTGGTTCAGGCAAGACACCTTGGAATTGTCCTTGACTTCACTCTTTCTCTCACACCCACATCCAATCTGCCCAAAAACTTTTTGTGTTCCCCCCACAAAATCTGTCCAAAATCTAAACTAGTCTCCCACTCTACTGCCCCACTCTCCATCCTCTCCCTCCTGGCTGTCACAGCCACCTTCTTCCTTGGCCCCTGGTCCCACCCCACCCCCACAGTCTGCTTCTCATGCACAGCTGGAGGAAGCTATGAACACCTCCTGGCACCTCACTCCTGGTGAAAGCAAAGTCCTCACAAGACTCATAACCTATAAGTCACTCCTCCGCTATCTGGGCCCCCATCACCTACCTGCTCTCATCATCTCCCTCTCAGTCCCTTACTCAATCGCTCACTCAGTTCCAGACACAATGGCCTCCCTACTGTTCCCCCTGACCCAGCCTCAGGACCACTGCCCTTATTGTTCCTTCTGCCTGGTTTGCTCTTCCCCAGATATCTCACCTTCTACAGTTCTTGACTCAAATGTTACCTTCTCAGTGGAGTCTTCCCCATCTACCTTATTTAAAATTGTAAACTTTCTCTGTATTCCAGGTCTATCTGTGTTTCTTTCCCCCCATAGTTCTTACACCCACCACGTATTTTATTTAGGACAGAGAGCTTGCCTGTCTCGGTCACCATCAAATTTGAGACTTTCTGTGCTGCTGGCTATTGAAGACTTTTTACTGAAGCCTTCCCTAACACTCTACACATCCCAAAATGCCATGACCCTGTGCATGCCCCTCCCTGCGTTGTAATCTTTATCCTTGTCACTCACTGCTATCAGACCATTCTCTGTGTTTTCTTGTTACTAGTTCCTTGTCCACCTCCCCAGGAGCACAGGATCTTGCTCACTACTCCATCCCCAGTGCTGAGAACAGGGGCTGGCACACTGGAGATATTTAATAAATTCATGTTGAATGAAATGAACAAGAGAATCAAAAGTTGGGTGAATTCCTAGGGTAGGTATAGAAGTAGGGGGAGACTGGGGCTCAGCCCATGGGAGGGAACTGTGGGTGACAGGCTGGTGAGCTGCCAGCTTACCGTAGCAGGTTGGGCGCCCAGACAATGGCCAGGTTGCGGGCATGCATGCTGGTATTGGCACTGTGTCTTGCCATGCGGGCCAAGTGCCTCAGCAGATACTCCAGGGTCCTGGGGTGGGAGTGGAGGGGGACACCTGAGCCTCAACTCCCTTGTGAGCCCACCATAGCCCTTCCCTACCCCTCCTGGTTTACCTATAGTGTGGCGGGGGCAGTTGTTGGATGACGTCATGGACACGCACCAGGCGTTCGTCCTCCCCAGGTACTGACATGGCCTCCTGAGATTGTGCACAGGCATGATGGGGACTGGGCCCAATGCATCCCAGCACCCTCCAATCTCACTATCTCCTTTACTCACACTGAACTTCCCGTAGAGCTGATACGTGAGCAGGGGGTTGGGCAGCTCTCGGAAGTAGAGCTTGCAGAGAGAAGACACACTGTGAATGTCCTGTAGGAAGGTGGGGCCAGACAGTTCAGGGATCCTCTCACTGTCAAACTCATGCCTGAGGCCACCAGGTCGAAGAAAAGAAAGACTCGTGTCAGAGCTGGCCCGCCTGGCTGTGCACCCCATACCCACACTGTCCACAGATGGATGCAACCCTCTTCCCGCACTGTGTTCCTCAAAGGACAGAGACTTACTTCCTCTGCCCCAAGGACAGGGGTGCTCTTTTACAGAGGACACTGACGCTCCGGTGGGAGGTGTCCCTCCTGCAGCTACCCAAGGCTATCGGATTCCAAAGCACGACCCTGCTACTGCTACTTCCACCACCTTATGCCATTCTCCTGACTTCAAGAGGGTCACTGGAAAACTGGCTGAAATCCCAGTAGCCCCTCCTCACAACTGCCTGGTTGTCTCACTGCTTGAGGGGAAAAGCTCAGTGCACATGAACTCATGCTGCGTCTCTCACACCTCGGGGCTCTATACTCTCACTTCAGGGCCTCCTGTCAGTCTCAACACTTGTGCCTCACTCCTTCCCATTCATGTCTCCTCAGTTCAGAACCCTCCAGTGTAAAAGCCAAAATCCAAACAGTTGTTAAAAAGGCCTTGCACACTCGGCCCCTAATTACTTCTCAGACATCATCTCCTGCTACTTTGCCTTTTGGACTGCCTGTTCCCTCCACCATGAATGCTTTTCCCAGAATATCCACATGGCTCGCTCCCTCCCATCCTCCAAAAGGGGCTCCCCTCCAAGAGGCCTTCACTGCCCACCCTATTTAACACTGCAATATCCCTCCCAGATTTATTATGATTCTCCTTACCCCCATCTCTTGTGCTCCATAGCACTTGTCACCTACTAGTAAACTCTCTCATTTCCTTGTTTGTCTCTACCTCTAGCATGTGAGGGTGGGAATCTCTGATTATCTCATTGATCATTGTGTCCCCAGTGCCTAGTGTTTGGCATGTAGCAAGTACTCAATGAAGGTTATCTCTCTATTTCCAACACTCATTCTGCTCTCACCTTTCAGGCCTCAGCTGGAGTCACTTCCTCACAGAAGCCCTCCCTGTCCACAGCCCTGATCCAACCCCATTACATGTCCTCCCAACTCCCAAGAACTCTTGTCACCAGCACATGGCACAGGGCCTAGACTAGAGATGATGTTCAGTAAGTGTTTGTGGAGGGAAGGGTTGGTGGAGGGCCCTCACCGTAGCCTCTGGATATTGGATGACACGCCTGAGAGTCGGTAGATTCCATCCACCACCCCATGGGCCTCAATAAACTCAGAGCAACAGCGAAGCACCTGGGGCACTGGGAGAAAGCAGTGAGGTCAGGGATGGGCAGGTCAAATCCTGGGTAAGAGGGGTGGGCTAGGCAGATGGGCCCGGACCTCACCGTCCTGGCCTGAGTTACTGAGGTGCTCTCCAAGGTCACAGCCAAACACCCTCTGCCGTAGGATACCCCGTTGTCGCAGCCGCTGCCGAGAAGGGCGGGAGCGCATGAAGGTGCGAAGGAGGCCAGCCAGCTTCCCCCGTGGCCGGGGCACAGCTGTGAGAGTAAGGCAGGCCATACAGGGTCAGTGCAGTTACCAGTCTGATATGAAGGAGGCATAGCCTCTTATTTCCATTACCTGAGGTCAAAGAGGAGACACCCTGGGGAGCTGGAACACCACAAAGGAGACCATCGGCATCTGTGGGGTGAACAGTGGGTGGGAAGGATGGACAGCAGGCAAAGGATGCAGGAAGGATTCCCCACTTTGCTGCCGGCACTTACCCCCCTTGAGTCCTGGACAGGGCCGCTCTGTGAATAGCTCCACACACTCGCTGGGGAAGAAACCGACCTGAAGAGGGTTCAGGGTCAGTGCCTGGGCCACCCTAGCTAGCACAGTGCCCTAGCCACCAGTCTACCCCAACCCAGGCTCACCTGGAAGCCTCGCTTGCCCCGCCACCAGCTCCGATCCTCTGTGGGTGGCATGTCGATCACGGAGACAATGTCTCCCACCTAGGAGTGGGCAGATGAGATGAGGGAGGGTCAGAAGTGGCCGGAAGAGGGGAGTCCAGATGGAGTCTGCCCCGCCCCCCACAGCCTCACCTCGAAGGACAGCTCGTCTGGTGCCTGAGCTGTGTACCGTTTCACCACATGGGCAGCAGCCACCGCGGGGATATTGAGGGAGGCCTCCTCACTGAGGAGCAGTCGCCTGCCATGGTTGTCCAACTGAGGTGGAGGGTGAATGTGGCAGGGAGAGGCCAGAAGGTAATAAATAATTAAGGCAGAGAAGGTTCTTCCAGGCCCAGTGGAGGCCACTACTTGCTCCTCATCTAAGGGCACCAATCACTCAGAGCTATTGATCAAACACCTAAATTCATGCCCCTTCTAAAACAAGACCCCTTCCTTCCTCTCACATGCCTCAGGATTGCTCTACCCTGAAGTCCTCCTGATACACCCCTGCACCCTCTCCATCCACAGCAGACATTGCACATCTGCTCTCTGAAAGCTGCTGGCTTAAGTCACTCTTAGCCAGGCATTCTTCTGTGAGTTACAGCCAAACCTATTTGATATACCTTGAAATTCTCACGTCCCCACAGCCCAACCCCTGCTAACACACACACACACACACACACACACACACACACACACACATACTCATTCTAACAGACATACACCCAAACAGACACTGAAATGCCAGTGACTCCTCCTGTCTGGCTCATTTCCTTCCTGTGCCCACACACACTCCCAGGCTGGTTCTCACTCTTCAGACATGCCTCACTCATTCCCAACTTCAAGCCCCGTTGCCCGGCCCACCTCCATCCAGGTGAGCACAGGCCCACAGTTGAGGTTACTGTCCACCAGTCCTGACAGGGTCTCCAGGTATTGCAGCAGCAGCGGCACCAGCATCTGTGGTCAGATTGTCAGGGTGGGCTCTTGTGAGGAGACACCCGTGAGAGCCCATTGCCCTTCTATACTGCCTTAGCTTGCCTCTAAGCAGGACAGAAATTCAACCTCAAAGAATGGGTGCCACTCTACTGTTAGGTACTAAAATATTGTCATGGTAGTTGGTAAACAGGCTACGTCAAGCTCCTGTGTGCTTCCACTGGTCTGGCCATATTGACCCTCCCATGGAACTCTTTATGATCCTAAAATTAAGAGGGCCTCCAGAACCCTGTTGCAGTCCTATGGTCTCTCCATTCTGATTGGTTGGGACTCAGGCCATACTTGTGATTAAGTATTTATCAATCCCTCCTGCCTTGATGGTTTCACACAGCGATGATGAGGACACACCATGGCTGAGGCAGGGATGGGATAACAAGAAGTTTACCTGGGCAGCCCTGGCACCCTCTGGGGGTGGGGGGAGCTCTGGGAGACAGGAAAATCTCCGGTCAAATATGCACCGGTGGAGGTGGGTATCCAGGGAACGGAAGTCATCGTAACTGCGGAGAACTGGCCAAGAACGGCCCTGTGGGAGGGTGAGGGACAAAAAGGAGCAATGGTCCCATTTCACTGAGCTGACGACCATGGCAACCAGTCCGACAGGGCAGATGAGAGGCAGGGTGGCCTTACCTGACAGGTCACCTGCACCCCAAACACCAGCTCATTCTCCCCAGAGAAGCTAGAGCCATCACGCTCTGGAGACAGTAGGAGCTGTAGAGGGAAAGAAAAGCCCAGGAAAGAAATGCTCACTTTTGTTCCTGTCCTAACCTCTCCAGGCTGGCACTATCTAGGGATGGGGCTGTGCTCCCCAAGGGCAGGGCCTAGTGATGCCTCAATCAGAGTACAGGGTCCTGGCACAGAGCACACACCTAACAAAAAGTTGCTGCAGAATGAATAAAGGAACAAACGATGAGTGAGGAACAGCTCTCCCTTCCCACCCTGCAACTCCTGCCACTGACTTCTTGGATGGGTAGAGCAGCCAGTCCCAGGGACAGATCTCAGGGGTAGGGTGGCTAACATTGCTTCATGGTTGGGTGGGATCTCATCTTCCCACCTGGGTGAAAACCCTCATACCTGAATGTGGCCAAAGTCGACATTCTCATAGTGGAAATGCGCACAGTCAGCCAGCCGGGGAAAGGGACCGCGAGGAGCCGAGAGCCTGGAAGACAGGGGACACATCACTAGTGGCTTCTGTGCGTGGCCCCCTCCTAAGCTGGGCCTCTCCCACACCTCTCACCTCTTCCCAGGCTTCTCCTTCACACTGGGACCCCCAGTGGGGGGCAAGGGCTGCACTGAGCCCTCCCCTGGGCCATCCAGGCTGTCAGTGCTGCGGGCCTGTAGAGCAGAAAGAAGAATCAGAGGCCCCCAGAGATGGGAACAGAGACAACAGGAGCATTGTTATCTGCCACCTTGAGCCCAGAGGCCTGAATCACTCCATACACTGCCCTGAGCATGGAGTAGCAGAGGAGGTCAGGGGGAGGTGAAGACCAGATGAGGATAGTTTTTCATCTTCCTGTGTGGTCTGGGGTGGGAGGGCTGGAAGAGGAGGGGCCCAGGGTGAGGCAGGAAGAAAGAAGGCTGGTACCATCTCTTTGGATTTAAACTCCTCCTGTAGCCCCTGCAGAATATAGTCATCTTCCAGTTGTGCCTCTCCACACCTCTCATCACTGTCTGGACAACCACAGCTCCCAGTTTATCAGTCTTCCTGCTTCCAACCTCTCCCCTCCTACCAGCATCTCCACAGCAAGCACTAGTATAATTTTCACACAACACACATCGGCCTCTGTCTCTCCATAGGTCATGGACCTTCAATGGCTCCCTGTTGTCTTCAAGATAATTCTCTGGTCTCTGTTTACCTCTCCACCCTTATCTCTTCCCACTGCCTCCACTCTCAGACCTCTCAAATTTCTGAGAGCCCAACAAAAGCACCATCTTCTCGTTTTCTTCTAGGCCTTTGCAGAGGCTGTCCCCACTGCGTGGAACACCTTCCCCATTCTTTCACTAGGTTCACTCTTCCTCATCTCTCACATCTCAGCTCTTCATGTTTCCTCCTCAGTTCTCCCTGACCCTTCAGGCTGTATCAGTCACCTCTCTGGACTCTCCCATCCCCTGAAGTTCCTCCATCCTAGCTTGAGGACTCTGCCTGGTTTTCCCCATCATAGTCCTGAGCACTCTGAGACGTCACTATCTGGCGACAAGTCCATCTCCCACACTGGACTGTGACCTCCCAGCTAGCTCCCCAGCATTGCCCAGCAGAGGGGGGGGGGGGGGGGCAGAATTGGTGCCTGATTCCTCGCTGGGTCCCCATGCCCAATTTCAGCCTAGCTGCCAGCAGGGACCGGATAAAATCCGATGAATTAACCAGCTGTCAGATGGGGATTTCCCAAACTGGCTCTAGCTTCTCCCTCCTTCATCTCCCTGCAACCCCAAGTTCAACCTTGGGTCTCCCCCTCGGATCTGTCCCCCTCCAACCCATGAAACCCCCCAAGGCAGGACGGGTCCTGACTTTCTGTGTCTAGAGCATGGGCTTGCAGAGGTCTCAGTGAATATCTGTTAAGTGAGAGAATGAGGGAATGGATGAATGAGCAGGAGCAGCGGGTGGAAGAGGGAGCCGGTAGGGGAGGGAGGATGAGGACAAGATGGAGAGGACCCAAGGATCGTGCTGGGGTTGGAGTGGAGTAAGTAGGAGGGGAGCAGCTGGAAAGGATGAGGTTCAGGCTGATGGGAGCGGAGGAGGTTTGGTTGAGTGGGCCTGGGATGGGGAGAAAATGATGAGAAAGAGAATAAAAGGGTTAGGCTGAGGATGGAGCTGAGTGGGGGTGGGGCTCGAGATTGGAAAAGTGGCTGGTGGGCGGAGGGGGAGGGAGGCCCGGTCGGGTGGAGGTTGGGACGAGGACAATGAAGGCGGCGCGGGTATGGGGGCTGGTGAGGAGCCCGGGGAGCTTCCGCAGGCCCCCGCGGGGGCCGCTCGGGGGCCGCCGGATCCTTCCCGGGACCAGCCCCTCCTCCTCCCAAGTCTGAGCCCTCGGCCGCAAACACCCATCCCGGCCGCGGAAGGAGATGCACGCTGAGAGGGCGGGGCCGGGTGAGGGCTCGGACCGAGCCGGGCTGGGGACCAGAGGACCAGAGACGAGGGGTGAGGGGCGGCGCGGGCCCCGGGCTCGGGCGGGGCCGGGGGCGGGGCGCGCGGGGCCGGGCCGTGCATGGACAGACTGCCACGCGGATGGTCTTACGGCCGCGTAGGCCCCTCACCACCATGGTCGCGTGGCCTCCTCAGGCGCTGGCCGCGCTAGACCCCTCCATCGTCGTCCTCGTCGCCGAAGCCGCCGCCATAGCGACACAAAGGGGAGGGCGCGAGCCGCGCGCGGGCGACTGTAGTCTCCGCCTCTAGCCGCTCAGCCGCTGGCCCCACGGGGGCGGGCACAGCGGGGGCGCGGCGCCGCTTCTCATTGGCTCCACCCTCGGCCTAGGACGCCCCACCCACCTGGCGGCTTTTCATTGGCTTCGGCTTGAGCACCATTCCCGGCTGGGTCTCTTCGGCCCCGCCCCGAAGAGTTTGACAGCGCCACGCCCAGGACCTCTTTCATTGGCCGTCGTCCCCCGAGACACCCGCCAGGTTCTTTACGCTTTGCTTTTTCTAACGCTAAGCAAGGGCCTCCCCTCAGTCTACGCTCAGTGACCGCTCCTCTGACACTCATAACTGGATTCTCCCGTGGGCTCAGGGCTTTTCTCCATCCGCAAGCAGCTTTTCAAAGTTCCAATCCTCTAAGCCACACCTTGTCTGTCCTGACCCCAACCCTGTCTTCAATATACTGAGGACATTCGCCCATGGGCATTTTCCACGGACTCAAATGCCCTGCCTGGGACATAATTCTAGGCACTCTGCGACTTGGCTCTACCCACTGGATATTTCCTTGCCTTCTCTACTGTTTTTTACAGGTCAGCCTCCAGCCTTGAATCCTTTTTCCTAGGAGTAAGTTTAGCCCAAAATGCCAGAACATGGCCATGCCTCCCAAAAAGCCAATCCCAATCTTTCCCGCTGCTGACGAGCCAGATTCAGAAAACACTAACACCCTTTCCAAGAGAACTCTCATTGGTCATGCCTTCAACAAGGCTTTCACCTCAGAAGGTTCATCCTTGACCCACCTACTTATTCAAAAAACTCCTACCACTTATTTAATTTGTGGACACATCAGTAAACAAAACAGGAAAATGTACCCTGCCCACATGGAACTAAAAAACTAGTGGGAGAAAACAGTGAACAAAATAAATATTTAAAAATAAAGAATATTAGAAGGTGATAAGTTCTATGGATAAAAAGTAAGCAGGACCCAGCTAGTGTGGCTCAATGGTCATGGTTTAATTCCTGGCCAGGGCACATGCCCGGGTTGTGATTCCCAGTATGGGGCATACACGAGGCAGCCGATCAATGATTCACTCTCATTATTGATGTTTCTATCTCTCTTTCCCTCTCTCTTCCTCTCTGAAATCAATAAAAAAATTTTTTTCAATTAAGCAGGGATTGGGGGGAGTACTGGAGGAGGGGTCAATTTACAGTTACTCACTTCAATTTATTAAATTTGCAGACCTCACTCTCATCACAGATACCTCCCATGTGATGTTCCCTCTACCTGGAGTAATCCTCTTTTCCCACTCAACCTCTGTGGTGGTTGCAAATCCTTTGACACTTCTCTGATGAAAAGGTAGAAAGTACATCCCCTCCCCTTTGAATCTGGGCAGATTTGTGACAACTTCGACTAATAGAGATTGTGACTTCCACCCTGGCCAGCAATGCTAAGTGGTTAGAGCATCAGCCCACTTACCAGAGGGTCACAGGTTCAATTCCTGGTCAAGGGCACGTACCTGTATTGCAGGTCCCATCCCCACTCCCAGTCCGTGTGCGTGTGGGAGGCAACCAATCAATGTGTCTGTCACATGGATGTTTCTCTCTCCCCCTCTACACCCTCCCTTCACTCTCTCTAAAATTAATGCAGGGGGTGGGGGTGGGGGGAAGAATTCCTACTCCTTGGGTAATGATTTAAAAAAATTATAAAAATAGAGAGATAATGTGACTTCCAAGGTTAGGTAGTAAGAGGCAATGCAGCTTCCTCCTTGTCTACTGGAATGACTAGCTCTAGGTGTGTTGAGGCATGTGAGAAACGTGGTTATGCTGAGGTAGTCATGTTCTGAGGAAGCCCAAGCCACATGGAAATCATGTGTAGTTTCTATAGTCTATAGTTCCAGCTCATCATGTGAGCCCTGGTGCCAGATTGTTTTATGCCACTAAATTTTGGGGGTGATTTGTAACCCAGCAATAGTAATTAAAACAGCCCTCTGTCAACTAGTTAATGTCTACCTGTCACAGCTTAAATCTAACTTCTCAGGAATCCTTTTAGGCTTTACTCACCCTCCAACTGGATCAGGTTCTTCTACTATAAACATCTTTTATTTTTTCATATCTAAACATATATTTCCTTCCTGTTGGTTTAATTTAAATGTATGGTTTGTTCAAAAAGGCTGTAGCCCTGGCTGGTTTGGCTCAGTGGATAGAGCGTCGGCCTGCGGACTGAGGGGTCCCAGGTTCGATTCTGGTCAAGGGCATGTACCTTGGTTGCAGGCACATCCCCAGTTGGGGGTGTGCAGGAGGCAGCTGATCGATGTTTCTCTCTCATCGATGTTTCTAACTCTCTATCCCTCTCCCTTCCTCTCTGTAAAAAAATCAATAAAATATATTTACAAAAAAAAAAAAAAAAGGCTGTAAACAAATATTTACCATGTCTCTGAGAGACAGAAACTTTTTACAGAAATCTATTCCATCCTCCCGTTTTAAAATAGATATCAAAGTAATCCTGACTATATATACTCTCCAACGTTTTATTATGAAGTTTCTAACATACAGCACAGTTGAACAATTTACAATATATCCACCACTTAGATCTTACCATTAACATTTTACTGTTTGCTTTATTCACATCCACCTATTACTCTATTCATCCATTAATCTAAATTTTTAAAAATATATTTTATTGATTTTTTTACAGAGAGAAAGGGGGAGGGATAGAGAGTCAGAAACATGGATGACAGAGAAACATTGATCAGCTGCCTCCTGCACATCCCCTACTGGGGATGTGCCCTCAACCCAGGTACATGCCCTTGACCAGAATCGAACCTGGGACCTTTCAGTCCGCAGGCCAATGCTCTATCCACTGAGCCAAACCGGTTACGGCCATTAATCTAATGTTTAATGTATTTCAAAATAAATTAGACATTGGTATGCTGATCCCTAAATAATTCAGTATGCATATCTTTAACTAGAGTTCAATATTTCTTTTTTTTCAATATTTCTTTTTCTTGAGGTAAACTTAACATACAATGAAATTCAAAAATTTCACTGTATGTTGACAAGTGCACACACCTGTGTAACACAAATCCCTACCCAACATGGTAACTGGACTCTTTATATGGTAGCCCAGGGCTCAAGAGAGCAAGAGAGAGCAAGAAAGAGAGAGCGAGAGGAGCCACATGGAAATTATATCATCTTTTCTAATCCAGTTTAGAAATTTAAAACAGTATCATTTCCTCTGCATTCTGTTTATGGAGGCGGTCACAAAGTTCTATCCAGTTTCAAGGAGAAGAAATCTAGATTCTAATTTTTTATAAGAAATGTTTCAAAGAACTTGCTGACAAAACAAACAGGTTTTTAATAGTCCAAACAGATAATGATAGCTTAGAATAAGGTGAGGGCCATGGAAGGGGAAGAAGGGGTTAAATTCTGGATAGATTTTAAAGGTAGACCTGACAGAACTTGCTGGTCAACTGACTGTGGGTATAAGGAAAAGACAAGAGTCAAGGACGACTTTGAGGCTTTTGGACTGAGCAGGAAGGACAAAGCTGAGGAAAGTTTGGGAGGAGCAGGTTTAGGGGGTAGATTGGGAGCTCAGTTTAAGACCTGTGCAGTATGGGACATCTCTTAGACCTCTGAGTGAGGATGATGAGCAGGTAGCAGGATATAGAAGCCTGAGGTTTAGTGGCCAGGTCTAGACTGAAGATATAAATTTAGGGACTATCAAAATAGAGATAGGATGTAGAGCCAGGAAGCTACAATAGCACATGGGAAGAGTTTAGATAGAGAAGTTAAGACCAGAGCCCTGGGACACACCAAAGTGACATGTCAGTGATGCTAGAGGCAGGGGAAGGAAAAGCTTCGAGGGTGGGATCAATGAACCAAATACTGTCCTGGTTCAAGCAGAACGTGGACTGAGGACTAACCACTGTCCAACACCCTGATAGCTTCATACCAAGAGGGAAGTTCCTTCTGTCTCATCTGAGACAGGAGGATCCACTCCTGAGTTAAGATGAGTCCCAGTCCTGCCTGAAGCTTTGCCTGGAACCCCTCCCCTGCCTAGACCTCAAAGAGGATAAAACTAGAAGAGATTCTGTACCACAGTCAGTAAGTAGGGTAAGGGTGGGGTGGGGGGGGGGGGGGGGGTGACTATTTCCCAAGCATGACTCTTGGCCTTTCCAGACTCTTTTCTCAGAGACAACCTGTAACCCAAAAAGAGCATTTCATTGGGAAAAACAGAATTTCTACAATTCAAAGTCTTCTGGCCTCAAGTGAGGCTCCTTCCCTCCTCAGCCGCATCCTTGGGGTCCTGGGGGTCGACCTGGCTGGAGGAGACCAAGTCCCTGAGTCTTCAGTGTGACCCAGTAGAAGGGATAATTGGGCGTCCACTTTCCTGGAAAAAAGCGAGGTAGTAGAGGCTGAGGTATGTGCTCAGGATTGGGGTCTGGAGCTCTGGATAGTTCTGGGAAAGGGGTTCAAGAGAGGTGGACACTTGACGGGAATCTCAGAAGATAAAGCCTGGAGATAGTCACCTTTTCTGCCGCCGCAGCTCGGCCCTCTGAACCCTTAGCACCTGCAGCACAGGGTCCTCCTGGAACTCGCTGCTGTCGGAATCTGGAGGAAAAAGAGCGAGCTCCAGGGGGCTGGACTCATAATATGCTCGACAGCAGATCCCAGCAGCCACACGCATCAGTTCACCTTCAGCAGCCTGCAGAAGCCTGGCGGCCTGGGAGAGCAGGTCCTCTGGGGGGGCGTGGTCAGCAGCGGGCGAGGAGGTGACCGCAGCCTCTAAAGACCCCGCCTGGACCAAAGGGGGCGGGGCCTCAACCCCGGTGGAAGCCTCTTCAGCTGGAGGGGGCGGGGCCTTGGGCTGAGGATTCCTGACTTCCTTGCAAAGCACCCACCCCTCTGCGGGAGGCGTGGCTTTGGCATCTCGAGACTCGGCCTTAGGCCAACCAGGTGGGGTCGCCTGAGGAAACCGTGAATCCGATAGAGGGGATGTAACTTCTGAGCACCGGGGCATGACCTTAGTTTTGGGTTGTGCGGTCTTCATTTTCTGAGATTCAGCCAGAGGTGGAGGCAGGCCCTTGAGGCGAGGGGGCGTGTCCTCCAGGCTGTCGGGGAAGAGCCGAGCGGTCACTACCTGGCCCAGAGGGCCGCGGAGCTGCGGGCTGGGCTCCTGGTCAGCCATGACTCGCCCAGCAGATTCTGGGCGCCAGGCTCTACCCTTCCGAGGTTTGGGGTCCGGCCTCTCGAGCTGCGCGGAGCTACATGGCGCAGGGGTGGGCGGGCCCTGGGGAGTGATAGGGGGCCCAGGAATAGAGGCACAGGGCGTGTGGGGGACGCCCCCAAAAGATACCCAGGAACCGGTCTGTGGGGCCCAGAAAAACCCTTGGGGGTAGGGGCCCCGAAAGATGTGTGGAGAGAACCCTGGGGGAATAGGAGGCCTCTCCACATAGACTTCCTGGGGAGCAGGCCCGGCCACACTGCCCCAAAGTGGGATGCAGTTAGGCTGTGTTCCCAGGGAACTAAGGGTCTCCGCAGGGGCAGGCGAGGTATGCAGACAGACAGGGACAGGAACCTGAGGGGGAGAGAAAGGGTAGGGTGTCCTCAGTTCCACTCAGGCCTCCGGCCTCCCTCCCTCCAACTACCCTTAGGATCCCCCTCAGATGCCTCCCTCCCCCATCTCACCGGAGTAGTGAGGGCAGAGGTCCCTGGCAATACCCAGGTTCCATCACCCTGACCTCCTTGAGCTTGTTCAAGCTTCCGCCGCTGTCGCCACTGGTACAGAATGTCATCCTCTGGTCGCAGGGGTGCCTGGGAGGAGACCAAGGCTGGAGCAGGGATGGGAGCTGGTGCGGGAGTTGCTGTAGGGTAAGTAGAGGGAAGAAGGGTAAGACAGGAGGTTCTGGGGATGACCAACCTGATGACAGCCAGTGCACACAACATTCGACTGTACCAATATTCAGACATGCTCTCCAGATAATGTCCCAACTCCTCTCTAGAGTGGGAAGTGAAGAAGGGCAAAGTCAGAGGAGAGAGGACTCATGGACTTCCCAACTTGCCATCATTCAATTCTTCCTTCATTAACAAATGTTTATTTAGCTCTTACTATTGAGCCAGGCACTGTTCTGGCTCAGTACAACAGTGACTCAGGACAGGGCCACTGGCTGTCCTCGGTCCAGTACGGCAAAAGAACATTTTCCCATCACCCAGAGCATCATTTTAACAGCAATGATAAGTAGGGCTACCACTGTCTCTCAGAAGCCTGACCACCTGATGCTACACAGGGAGGGGGGGGGCATCATCTCAGACCTCTCTCTCCTCCCCAACTCTTTATATCCCCCAAAAAGATGTGTGGATAGAATCCTGTGATTCTACTTCCAAACCTGGCCACTGCCCTCTACTCTGCTCAAGCTCTGGCCCAAGCCAAACTACCAGCATCTCTCACTGGGTACCGAGAGCAGCCGGGGGGAGTTTGTTAACACTCGAGGAAAATCATGTACCCTCCCTCCTCAGAACCCTCTCGTGGCTCCCTGGTACTAAGATAATGACCAAATGCCTCCCCAAGCCAACATGGCCCAATGTAATCTACCTCTGCCAATCTGTCCCTCCTTATCACATACTACTCTCACCACTGGCTCTTGCCTTTTCTAGTTCATTGTCTGCACCATGCTTCAGGTCCTCTGAACATGTTAGAAGGCGCCTGTCCCCACCTTCATCATTCAGGTCTCCACCTAGATAGCATCTCTTCTAGGAAGGCCTTCTCTGACTTCTCAGCATCACAATCCTCTCCTGAATAGCCCTCGTTTCTGGCTACATTTCACATTTGCTTGTGGGGTTATGTAGCTACTCTCTTCTACACTCACTATGCTGTGAGAACCCTGAGGATAAAAGTATTTATGGTTGGTTCACTGTGGAACATCTAATCCTACTCTCAGGGCCTCATACACAGCAGAAATTTAATTTTTGTTAGATGAATGAATGATCTGCAAAAAAAAAAAAAAAAATCATGAAATAGGTACTAGTTTTATTCCCATTTTAAAGAAGAGAAAATTGAGGTTCAGAAAGGAAAGGTGAACAAAAGGTGGAACTTGGATGGAAGGAAGAATCAGACAGGTGAGTTTGAGCAGGATCACACACATGCATGAAAACCTCTCTGGTTACTTGTGCTTGCCTGTCCCCACTCATGGAGCCCCATGAGATACACAGAGCACCTGTCCTGTGCTCCACTGCATCCCAGGACCTGGGCACAGACTAAAAGTAACCACAATGATGGCACCAACAGTAACCCTGGTCCTTAATCTCATTTCTGAAATCTTGCATGTTTTAGCAAAGTTGTATGGTATATACAGTGTAGCCAGGGGTCTGATGCCGTACACCAGACTCTAACACATTGGTACTTGGTTGAACAACATGCAATTGGCAATATTTAACCATTTTTTACTTACAAAGGCAAAAATTTCATATGTTTCAATGTAATATATCCATAGCAAAAATATGAAGTTGTCCTAAATGATAGATAGATAGATAATAAATATCCTTCTCATTGTTGAGGTCAGATTTTGCTGTCAAATCAAATGTAGCGCCAAATTTGCAAGAAGCCTTCTGATTTTGGAGCTTTGTGTTTAGAGAGGCAAATAGGATACAGAGAGAGAACCTGTCCTACTAATGATAGCTACTATTAACTGACTGGTGCTAAGTACTCCATATTCATCAACTAATTTAATCTTCACCACACCCACAGTAGAAGAGTATAATTATTATCCCCGTTTTAAAGCTGAGGAAACAAGGAAGGCACAGAGTGGCATTTGTGGGACTCACACTGGCTGCCCTCAATCCTTGTTCTCCAGAACTCACCATGTGCCTTGGGGTCAGAGCCCTTGCTGGAGTCAGGGGTGAAGGCCACAGAGGAAGGAGAAAAACCATCAGAGCTGACAGGGAATAAGGAATTGCTGGAATTGCTGGGGCTGCAGGAGGAGGAGACGGAGGCTTTGCTGTAGGAAGAATACAGAAGTAAGGCAAGAGGGGTCTCAGAGGCAATGGGTGGGGCCTGGAGTTGAAGGAGTGGAGAGGATGATGGGGGCAGGGAAAGCACCTGTGTTTCAGCAGCCTGGCAGCTCTGCTTTGCAGGCTCAGCATCTCCAGGTCCAGCAGAGATGAGTTCCATGTGTTGAGGCTCTGTGAGGTGAGATGGTCAGAGGCCAGCCCAGATTCCAAAGGCTGCTCAGACAGAGGGCCTGGAGTGCATATCTGCACTCCACCTGGTACCCTCACACGCTGGCTTAAAATCTGCTCTTCCTCTTCAGGGAAGAGTAACCCAGTTTTCCTGTGTGGATCACACCCCTCAATGAAATTCCTGTTGTAGGAGAAGTGTTGACCCTGCCTTCCTGACCAGGCCTGGCTAATCACAACATTCTGTCCTCTGGTTCACAGTGATTGTGAGCTGATGAGAGTAACAGGGGCTTTGGATGGAGCTATCAGAAAAGGCTCCTCTTTCCTGTGGATTAAATAAGTTAAAAGGCTAGAACTACTGAGGCCATCTTAGCTACTATGAGAGGAAAGCCTGCCTGAGACTGAGCCCAACAAAGAAGAACAGAAAGCCAAACCAGTCAGGTTCTTCCCAATAGTGTTCAAACACTTGGATCCAGCCATGCCTGAAAGAAGCTACTTTTGGACTTTTTAATTGCATTAGCAAACCAATCCTTTTTTTGTTTGTTTGTTTATGCTTCCTTGAATTGTGGACTGACTCTAATTCTATCCCAGGGCTGGTGATGTCAGTTCAGGTAACATAGGCGGAGTAAATGGGGATGTCACCTGCTTTATTTCCTGAAGGGGGGCCATAGCCTTAGCCTGTGATGCACTGGCCACCTTGGCAAGAGTCAGGACTTCCGTGGTGAGTCTTCCTTCTGGTTTATTGGCTCCTGCTGAGAAACCCCAATTGATGTAGGAGGGCCAGGAGGAGTGGCTGCTGAGAGCACTGTACAAGAAAGATTCTGGAACAGCATAGAAGGACCTGGAGAGTACTATGCTAAGCGAAATAAACCAGTCAGAGAAAGACAAGTACCACATGATCTCACTTGCATGTGGAATCTAATGAACAAAATAAACTGATGAACAAAAATGATCCAGAGACCTTGAAACATGCAACAGACTAACCTATTTCAGAGGGAAGGGAGTGGGGGGGAAGAGATTAAACAATGAATTTATATGCATATATGCATAGCCCATTGACAGGCAATAGTGAGGGAAAGGCCTGGTGAGGGGACAGGAGTTGAGTGGAGGGGGTCGATGGAGGGAAAAAAGACATTTGTAATACTTTCAACAATAAAGATAAATTTTTAAAAAAAGAAAGAAAAGGTTTTAGGCCAGGAGTGGATGGGACTGAAGCAAGTACCTGCTGCAAGTTGACTAGTAGGGTCTGGAGATTCAGGCCGCAACCACCAAAAGTCAGCTGGGGTTGGGCCTGCAGGCTGGCGTTCCTCTCGGCTTGTGGGCTGAGCCTGGCGGAACCGGTTTATGAACCTGTGGGCATCAGAGAATGGGAGGAGGGTGGGGTAAGGAGAGCCAACTAATAATAACAGTAATAATCACAACTACCAGGGACAACTACCAGGTGCTTCCATAATGCTCAATGTTTATTGAGCATTATGGAAGCACCTGGTAGTTGTCCCTCAATATCCATTCTCTTTTCTTATATAGTAATACAATATTGTGGACACATACCCACTCTTCTATACATACATTTGCCAAGTGCCCTTGTAACTTTATGGCCATGAAACTGGGTTCTTGACTAACAGGGTGTGAAGAGATGTGATTCTGAATAATGGATGTTGTTGGGAGCCATTTTGGTCCATGAAGGAAAGGGCAACAGTCTGGGGAGGGGAGAAGTGGCGGGGTGGGGGGTATGAGATAGAAGTAAACTGTGTCTCTGATACCTCAACTAGGGGCTGCTATATTGGCCCTGGTTGCTTCTGCCTATACTGTTAGTTGAGGGAGAAATAAGTACTATTTTTGTTTAAGCCACAATTAATTTGGGGCTCTTTGTTGTAACAGCTGAACTTGTACCCTACAAATCCAAGTGCTCACTATGTGACAAGCATTGTTATAGAAGCTTTACAGACAGTAAGTAACTCATTGAAAGCTTAAACAGCCCTAGGGGATATGTTATTCATATCCCCAATTTTTTTTTTTTAAATATATTTTATTGATTTTTTACAGAGAGGAAGGGAGAAAGATAGAGAGTTAGAAACATCGATGAGAGAGAAACATCGATCAGCCGCCTCCTGCACATCTCCTACTGGGGATGTGCCCGCAACCCAGGTACCTGCCCTTGACCAGAATCGAACCTGGGACCCTTCAGTCCGCAGGCCGACGCTCTATCCACTGAGCCAAACCGGTTTCGGCATATCCCCAATTTTCAGACAAAAAAACTTAGACCAAGATCATACAAAGAGTAAGTGACAGAGCTGGGATTTGAACCCAGGCAGCCTAACTCCAGAGCTCTTAACACACATGAAGTGTGGTCCTGAAAGTGCTACATAAACAGCACTGGCTGTGGTAATAACAGGATGCCTTCCCCCCGCCCCCCAATCTTTCTTGCCCTCAGGGCTGATGGTACTTACTTGGCCACCACGGAGTCACTACTGTCAATCAGGGTGGGTGGGGAGGAGGCACCCATCTGTTCCTCAGTGGTGCTGGGTGGGGAAGGGGTCCCTGACCTGGATGGCCAGGACTCCTCAAATAGCTCAGGGGAGTTGGGATCTGTGGCCAGAGCCTTGGGAGTTTCTGGGATCCTGGATCTCTGGGACCTGGATGGACTCAGGGTCTAAGATAGGGGAGGTAGGGAGAAGAAAAAGTGATATCCCTGAAACAAAGACACACATGAAGTCTTAGTCCAGAGGGGAGGAAACACATCTCACAATGGTAACAACTCAGAGTAAATTCGGCTATGCTGGTGGTAGAGGAGTAGATGAAGGAAGGGCCGGGGGAGAGGAGGAGGGACTGTGTTTAATCTCTCACCTGCATCTCTTATCACAGGTCTTCACTCCCTTGCTACTAGGCTGGCACAGAGCACTCTCTGTGTGGTGTTCTCACCTTGGGGTGCCAGGTCTAGCTTTGACCCAGGGGAGCATCCCCAAAGGGGCTGTCTCGAGTGTTGAAAACTTGCAGGCTGCAAGGAGAGAGTAAAGTTGGTAGGCAGATCATGGTCACTGCAGCCCAGGAGGAATCAGGGCAGGAGGATGGGAAGAGGAGGGCAGAAAGACTATACAATTCCCATGGATTCCTGTAAGAGATGGACCATAATTCCCACAAAGCACCACTGCACATTCAAGATAATGATACTGGAGGCGCCAGCCCTTGGAGCAGTCTCAAAAGAGAAGAAGCGAGGAACTGCTAATGGTGGCTCTCAACACTGGATCCAGCCTAGGAGCTGTCTTAAAACAACAACAACAGATGCGTGGTCCTCACTCCAGACTAAAAGAATAAGAATTATCTGGAAGCAGTTGTTAGGCATCTGTATCTTTTTCCTAGCGCCCCGGAGAATTTTGGAGTGGAGCTCGGGTTAAGAACCATGGCTAAACCCTATCGCAGTACATTTCCCATAAGTCTTGGGGGCACTAAGGAAAAAGGGGCAGATGCACTACAATCCCCATCAGTCAATGGGCTCTTCCTAAGCAAGAAAGATAAACAAAACAACACCTATGGGAGTCTGGGGGCAATTTCAAAATTAAGAAACTTGATTCCCAAGATGCTCCTGGACACTCTTAGAAGAAGGAAAAAAAGCATCTTGGGGTCACTAACAGCGGAACGCAAGACACTATGGGACCCCCGGGGACGGTGAAGTCCAAGACTGGAGCAGCCAAAGCTGTGGAACAGTTTGCGGGTTTCAGTTCCCTGCGGCTGAGGAGAGACTCCGGACCCCAGCCATCCGGACCCCAGGCTGTGCTTCTCTCACCCTGGTCTTCCCCGGGCATCCTGCGGTCCCGGGAAGAGGGATGGCCTCACCTGCGGTTCATCCGGTGGCTACTTCCGCGCTTCGCGGAACTCCCCTTCACCGACCGACCCAGCGCCTCTCGGTCGCTTAGCAATGCCCTATCAGCCCGCCCCCTCCGGGTGCCCTCGCGGGACTACAGCCGCCTCCAAGGCGACCAATGATGAACAGTAATTGGAAAGCGGCCAAAGGCGGGTGACTGAAAGAGCGTGTGTGATTGGAGAACCATAACGTGCAGCAGTGATTGGCAAGCCTGTGGACCAATGGAGAGAATATAAAACTGTGTTCAAGGTTAGGAGGGGTTCTAAAGTACCCGCGCTTCCCTGCAGCCTGGTCTTACAACCTTCTTGCGGCGGGAATCTCGTCCAGACTATTCCAACAACCGCTTTTCCCGTTGTAGGGGCAACCAGGGAGACTGTCCCCTCTCTAACGGACATCCCTCCATCCGTCGGACCTGCAGGACCGTCCCTCCCGGTCACCTGCTTCCATTTTGCTGCAGGAGCAGCTGGTTGCGCCAAGTGCCAGGCCTGGGCTCCTGGCCAGGTGGCGGGATCAAAACAAGCTATTTCGGGCCAGGCGCACGCCCCCCCGGGGGCCAACCTGGACTCTTGTCCACGGTCCCTGGCCGCTGCTCACCTGGCAGACCCCGCTACTCTGCATCCGAGACTGAGTCAGAGGCACAGAATTAGGCCCGGCTTGCCCGGGACTGGGCTGATGGAAATAGAGTCTGTCCTGTGTCCTTCTGACAGTTTGGCTGGTCCACCGCATTCTCTACCCACGACTCTGCTCATAAGACTGCCATCTGCGTCATCCCCAGAGCTGCCTGAGGGGCGGGGGTGGAGTAAAGGGACTGGGAGCTCTGCAGAGGGCTTCTCAAGCCCTGGGTCCCAAATTCCGGCAAGGCTCCGCCTCCTCAGCCTTAGTTTCCCTTCGGGGAAACTGGAGAATCTTGATACCTCTCTGGCATCCAGCAGGAGCTTAATAAATGGCCAAGTCATTGTTGGCTTTCTAAATAAGGCTCTGTTAGTGGCTGGGTCTGGCCGCAGTCCGAGTGTCCCCGGGCGGCCCGCGGAGGGCGGACACAGGGCGTCCTATAAAGCTGCGGGGCGCACCAGGGGCACCACCGCGCAGGAGGAGCAGGATGGAGATCCCGGTGCCCGTGCAGCCGTCTTGGCTGCGCCGCGCCTCCGCCCCGTTGCCCGGGCTTTCGGCGCCTGGGCGCCTCTTCGACCAGCGCTTCGGCGAGGGGCTCCTGGAGGCTGAGCTCGCTGCACTCTGCCCCACCACGCTGGCGCCCTACTACCTGCGCGCACCCAGCGTGGCGCTGCCCGCCGCCCAGGTGCCGGCCTGGGGAGGGGTTCCGGCCATCCTCGGGGGGGATGAGGGGATGTCCCTTGACTTTGAGAGGGACGAAGAATCCGGCCACTCAGAGGGGCTTCTGGGGTTCCCCAAGTACGGAATTTTAGAGGCCAGATTAATGGAGGGGTCGAAGGTCCCCGTCCATCTGAGGAGAATCTCAGTTCTAAGGGGACTGATAGGGTGAGGCGGTCACTCTTGGGGGGGGGGGGGGGACCTTGGTGACTTTGAAGGAGGCTAGTAACCCAGGGAATCTGGGGTGGGGTGGGGTGGGAGGCCGATCATTCTGAAGGGCGTAGGGCGCCCAGTGACCCCTGCGGGGAGGGAACGTTGTGTTATTCTCGGGAAGAGTTTGTAGATGATATGAAGTGACCCTATGTCCCCGGAGAGGCAGAGGGGAGGGTCTTGTGACTGGAGAGTGGGGAGGGGCTGGCCACTCTGAGAAGGGAGGAGGACTAGTAACGGCTGAGGGGCCAGGGGTCCCGTGTGGGTGTGGCAGCGCGGGCCCGGGGCTCTGAGAGCAAAGGGCCCGCGGAGTCAGCGTCCAGGGACACATCGACTGTGGGGTCGCCGACACGGGGGAGGAAGGGGACTCACTCTGTGAGGCCTGAGGCCTCTGACTGGCAGGGAAAGGGGCCTCTTCCCTCGGGTGAGAGGAGGATGAGACCAGTTATTCGGGATGAGGAGGCCATCCATGGCTACAGGTTGGAAAGGGGACTCCCAGTTTCAGAGGCCAGAGTCAGCTGCGCTAGAACCCCGGAGGGAGAGGCCTGGCTAGGGTCCTGGGAGCCCTGCCGCGCCCGATGACAATGGGCTGTGCACAGGTGCCCGCCGACCCCGGGCATTTCTCGGTGCTGCTGGATGTGAAGCACTTCTCCCCGGAGGAAATCACTGTCAAGGTGGTTGGTGAACATGTGGAGGTGCACGCTCGCCATGAGGAGCGCCCGGTGAGCCCGCTGGTGGGGGCAGTGCCCCGTGAGCCCGCTGGTGGGCAGGCCTAGGGGAGCGGGGCAGCCATAGGGAAGGGTGGGCCTCTCAAGCCTCTCCGTTTCCAGGATGAGCACGGATACGTGGCTCGAGAGTTCCACCGCCGCTACCGTTTGCCGCCTGGTGTGGACCCTGCCGCTGTGACATCAGCGTTGTCTCCCGAGGGCGTTCTGTCCATCCAGGCCGCGCCCGTGCTGGCCCAGGCCCCACTGCCGCAACCACAGGCTGCTGCCAAGTTGGGGTCTGGGCACACCTGAAGCCTGGGGACCGCCGCAGGCCACCTCTTTTAAAGCCGACCTGACTCCGCCCAGCCAGATGTACCAAGCTCGCCAAGACCACCACCCCTACACCCCATCTGGGGTCCAGCCGGGACCCTTCCAACCTAGACTCAGCCCTGATCTCTCTCACACACCCTCGTTTTCAAACCCCAACACCTTCCTAGCTTCCAGACCCTACAAGCCCATCCCCACTAACCCATTTCTTGGCTTGTAAACCCACTCAAAACCTATTTCCTTCTCATTATGAAAATAATCACTCTGACACCTGATTATGATAAGAGACAGCCCTGTTCCCACCATAGGCCAATTAAGCACAACCCTCCCCCCACCCCCCGCTACCCCACAAAGCCCCAGACGCTGCAGACTTCCCACACCAGATCACCCAAGCCTGGTCTTCCCCTCATTCTAACCAGACAGTCCACCCCCACCCCTCTTCTCATCTTCTGACATAAAACCTCAGCTAGCCACCTTCAGACTCTTGAATCCCTTTTCAGACCCCCGCCCTTGGAAAACCCATTCTAGACCAACCAGGACCCTCAAAATGTAGATATCCTGCTCATTTCCCCAGGCTCTGCAGAATGTCCTAACCCTCCTCCAACTTCACCAAGGACACCCCAGTCACTTTGTCTTGACCCTTAAGTCTCTAATCACAGGCAATCCACCTTCCAGACTCTACCCCTTATTCTCCAAGACCCAGCCTGCAGCCACTTTCTTAGATTTTGATTCCCAATTTTTCTCCCTCCCTAAATTCCCTGCTGTCCTATCCCCTCACTCCTCAATAAATGTGCTAGAGCTGTGCCATCTGCTTTATGTCTGGGCCTGGAAGGATAGGCTGGAGCAATCAGAGGCCAGTGTAAAGAGGGGAAATGTTTATTGAGGTCAGGGGAACATCACTGTCGCTCATACATCTCCCGTAGGATCTTCATGCTTTCTGAGTAACGAAGCTGGTTCCGATGAGATGCCTCCTTCCACCTACAGTGGGCAAGGGAAACCAGGGGGAGGGCTCAGCAGTTGGGGCAGAAGCCATAGAGGAGCAAGCAGGTTGGGGATGCTTACCTCTGGCGGATGCGTTTCCAGCGCTGCATGTTGCGGTAGATGAGTGTGGAAGGTGAGGGTGAGGGCTCAGAGGGCTGTGTGGACAGAGAAGCCAGGTTCGGTGGCCATGCCCAAGCCCCACAACATATGTCCCATAGCCCCAGGCAAACTTTGCAGACCCACCTCATCCTCAGGGGTACCCTGTGTCTCAGGCTGCAGTGGGGATGGAATTCGGGATCTGCAGGCATCTCCAGGGGGCCCAGGGGCTGTGGGAGGAGGCAACTTGTACACATCACGACTCTTGCTGGTGGTGACCTCTGAACCCTGGAGACACAGGAGCCCCATAACAGATCCGAGTCAGAGATGAGGGCCAGGGGTACACATTTTACCCCTCCTTCCTTTTCCAGTGACAACAAACATGAAGGTCTCCTCTGGGACCTGTACTTGGGAGTCATGTCTGAAGAATGGGGATCTTACCTGACCAGTCGAGAGATTTCTATCTATGCCTGCATACCCTAGGGCAGTGGTCAGCAAACTCATTAGTCAACAGAGCCAAATATCAACAGTACTTCTTCAAAATAGACTCGCCCAGGCCGAAAACCGACTTCTGCGCATGAGCCATGAAGTTTCAATCTCACTGTACGCACACCCGCACGTGGTATTTTGCGGAAGAGTCACACTCAAGGGGCCAAAGAGCCCCATGTGGCTCGCGAGCCGCAGTTTGCCGACCACGGCCCTGGGGCATCCCCATCTGCTCCTTTAGATCAGGTGGCTATACCTGTTTACATTAAGGACCCCTTTCCAGCTCCCCAGCTCTTGGGGATCCCAATCTTAGAGGTCACACATATCTGCCCAGGTGAACCCTGTCCCCTCTTTCTCCCAGTACAGGTAGCCATGTGTGCCTGCTCTGGAGAGCTCCATCCATACTCCTAGTATAAGGGTTCATATCTGTGTGCCTCAATGGATCCAGGAGACATTTAAGGGACACAGAAAACTGCCTGTCTATCCCAAATAGCTTGTGAGGAGGGTACCTTGGTCCTAGACCAACCAGGACCCTCAAAATGTAGATATCCTGCTCATTTCCCCAGGCTCTGCAGAATGTCCTAACCCTCCTCCAACTTCACCAAGGACACCCCAGTCACTTTGTCTTGACCCTTAAGTCTCTAATCACAGGCAATCCACCTTCCAGACTCTACCCCTTATTCTCCAAGACCCAGCCTGCAGCCACTTTCTTAGATTTTGATTCCCCACAATTTTTCCCACTCCCTCCCTGGCTGTTGGGCAGGGGCCTACCACCCATCCTACCTCCTCATCCTCAGGCAGTGGGGGCAACGGTGAGCTGGGTGAGCGTTCGTGCTCACGCACTGTGGGGCTGTTGCGCATCCAGGCACGACAGATTGGGTACAGCGGTGTGTTCTCACTGAACTGAGCTAAGTCCACACTCCGGTCAAACAGCTTAATCACATACGTGTCTAGGAAAGTGGGAGTGGGAGGTATGTGAACATGCTTATATAGTCCCCTATCACTGACCGCCCTCTAGGGCTACCACCTACTCACTAGATCGTTGTGGCCCTCCTTCGGCCAGCCCATCATCCATCTCCCTTCTCTTCTTCCTCCGCTGGTGGGGGAAGCGGGCAGATGGCCTGCGTGAGTTGAGAGAACATCAGGACCAGTGCTGGGGACTTCTTTTTACTTGGCTGAAACCCCCGCCACCTTACCGTTTGCCAGTGGCCACAATGGAGCAATCCCTGTGGGAAGAGACAGGGCATGAGCAGGCTCACCCTTGAACAAATGCCTGCTCAAAATCTCCCAAAAGACACCCTATGGATCCTGAGATCAAGCCTGAGATGCCCACATGTACCCCACTAACTCTGTAGGCGTTGTGTCCCACCCAAGCCCCTGGGGCTCTAGTTGCCAAGTATGACGGGACCTAAGCTTCTGCTGCCCCAGGGTCTTTGTGCACATAGAGTAGTTCAAACTGTGGTGGAGGAAGCAGGGGACAGAGTGGTCAGGGCTTGGGTGAGGGAAGTAATTCACCACAAACTCTCAGATACAGATCCCACCAGTAAAACTTACTTGCTGTGTGTGTCTGAGGGTGTCTTCCTGGCTTCCTCATCCAGACGCTCCCTGGTAGCAGAAGATAACTGTGGACTCAGGGTTCCAAGGGCCCAGAGTGGTAAGGCAATGAGTGGCCTCTCCATTGGGCCCCTTCCTCCCTAAGCCAGGTTCTGGGGTCCCACCTAGACCCACCCAGGACTAGAGGGCCAAACCCCCTCTGATCTCAGGCTGGCCCAGGTCCCAACCTGTCCATGTGACTCTTCTCCAGCAGACACTGTAGAACGGCATCCAGTTGGTTCCGGGCCTTGGCCATCTCCAACTCTGGGGAAGAGGGTACCAAGCAAGAGTCAGTTCCCAGACCCAAGGCAGGTGGGAAGCCAACTGGGCTGGGGAAGGGCATGCACAGTCAAACCTATGGCAAGGCTTAGGTGTGCTGAGAGGGTGTGAGGGCAGACTACTGAAATGATGAGTAAGAGCTCTGGGTTCCTGGGCTGTCCCACCTAAGACAAGTCATCTTACCTCACTGAGCCTGTTTCCTCTTGAAAATAGGTCTCCAAATGATACCTATTTGTTAGGACTGTTCTGAGACTTAAATTGACCTATGTTGTATATGAATCTCTTAGCAGAATGCAATAATAAGTAATATGTACAGAGTACTTATTATGTGTCAAGCATTGTTTCAAGCATATCACACATATTAACCCACTGAATTCTCACAATAACCCTGGTAGGTACATATGATTTTTACCCATTTTACAGATCATGAAACTGAGGCACATAGATGTTAGGTAGTTGCCCAAAGTCACACAGCTAGGGAATAAGGATTTGCATGCAGGCCATCTGGCTCCACAGCTGAAATTATATGGCAGGGACTCAAACGGGGTGCGGTATCTAGTGCCCAGATAAGCTTTGTTTGGATAAGGCAGTGGAGTTAGTTATATTAAATCTGAATGAACTCACATTTAATTGGGAGATTTCACCCAAGAGACCCATTTTTGCACGCCCCCCCTCCTCCAACACACACACACAGGAAATGAGATCTGGGCCCACTTCCTGCATATCACAGGCCCTGCCTGGCCCTGCAGCCTGTGTCTTTGCCTCTGTTCATCATAGAACTTAAGGAGGTAATGATATTATAAATATTCTCTTCTCACCCTGTGAGGTGTTTGCTCTCCTCTTCCAGCTAGTAGGTGCTTTGGCACAGTGCTCAGAGCCTGGAAGGACACTTGGGGATATGCTTTGGCCAGCCCTGGGACTTCCTGAGGAGACCAGAAGATGCACGGATTCCTGACATCACTCAGAGACAGGGTAGGGGTGTGGATTGGGGCAGCTGAGATTCTAGCAAAAAGCCTTGTTCAGGAGACAAGGTATGGATCATGCCCACATCTCTTTCCCTAGCCCCCACTTCTCTCCTGAGCCTCAGATCTTGGGATCCCATGGACTCCTGGACACCTCCCCCTGGTTCTTCTACCTATTGGCTCCCACATTATCACTGGCTTCAGTGTTTCTCTAAACTTACCCTCTTTCCTGGGCCCCCATCTCAAGGATAGCTCTGCTGTCCCCCAATCCCTCCCTGGGCCTCAACATGGACACCTCTCTCTCCCCTCCATCCCAAACCACCGACTCTTGTCCACTTGGCCTCCTTTTCTACCACCTATCCCAACCCTACCCTGCCCACCCTGGTCCTTTTCATTCCTTCCCTTGGGTTCCCAACCTCAGTCTCCCCTTCTGATCCACCCTCCACAAGGTGGCCAGGGAGATCTTCCTAAAATCAATCCTGACCCCGATATGCCCCCTTAGAACCATGCACAACTCTGTAGTGCCCACATCATCATCGTGGTCAGGCCCCCTACACTTTTCCATCCACAATTTTTTTGGCATTTGAAAGGCATCTTTATTAACTCACTCCTCAATTCAAAACCCTCCCTTGGTTCCCCATTTCCCTCACAGCAAAACCTAAGTCCTAACCTGGGTCCACAGATAATTGGTTCCTCTCTCCTCCCCGCTTTGCCTCCATCTCCTCACCCTCTCTACCTCAGTCTGTTCCAACCACACTGGCCTCCCGGCTGATCCTCGAACAGGCCAGACAAGGCTTTCTCAAAGCTATTTCCTTCGTCTTATTCGCTGTTGGCTCACATATGCTCATGGCTCTCTCCCTCACCTTACCTCACTCCTGATCTCACGTTTGCTCTCCTGTTTCATTTTATTCCACGTATGCCATCTAACATCGTACAACATTTTACTAGTATACTTTGTCTGGATTCTGTGCCTCTCCCACCGCCCTTAACCTACCAGTCCTGGGTTCCCATAAACTCGGTCCCAACCCAAAATGAATTCTTCTCTCTCAGCTTGTTTTCCCATCTACCATATTTCTGACTTCTAGGATTATTGGGATACAGTGACTTCAAAGATTAAAAACCTCCTTGTACTTCAGGCACTCAGTACAATGCTTGATTCATAACTATTGCTGGAAATGGAAAAACTGAGACACAGCCAAGTAGTCTTTCTCGGGGTCACGGGGCTGGGGATCCCCATGCCTTGCGGCACCACACTGCCTGAGCCACCACCACTCAATCTCAAAGCAATCTCGAGCAGACTGGTAAGGTATGCAGGCGGCAGGAATCGCTCAATGCCTGACATAGCGATAGGCAGAAGGGCTGCAGGGAGAAGTCTCAGTCTACCTTATCGCGATAACCCTGACTATCGGGACTCGCATACCCAGATCAGTCCCGTGCTCCTCTACAGGCCCCCGACCTCGAAACCTCACCTGATTTCTCCACTTTCACCTTCACCGGGAACATGGTTTGGGTCTGGAGTCTGGCTAGTTGGGTCAGAGGAGCCCAAAAGGGCCTAGCGTCACAAGTCAAGGGCAGAGGCAGACGGAGACCGTCAAAGATAAGCTTCGTACGCGGGCGGTCTTCTGCCCTGAGCAGCGTCGGTCTACGACAGCCGCCGCCGCCAGCACCTCTTGCTCCCCTTTGGTGGGGCCCCATCGGCAGTCGCTTGTTCCCATTAGTCAGTATAACCGTCGATCTCGTACCTTGACCAATTGACAGCTCTCAGCTCTAAGTCCCACCTTGCTAGGGACCCATTTCCGGAAACAAACCAACGACATCCCGGCACGCTTTCTGGGAGGTGTAGTTCTGGCTCCCGAGACTCAGCCGTAGTAACAGCGCCTGCGCCGCGCGAGGCACGGTGGGAGATAAAGGACCAGGGCATCGCGAGGTTTTTTGGAACTTATAGTGTTAGTAGCTTTTAATAAAAGCCATTTAGGTATTAACAGTAATTATTTAACCGTGTCCTTCTTGCCCCTAATTGGAAGACAGTCTGGAGTTAGGCTTTTTCCCTCTGAGTACTCACTAGTGCCAGCTACCTATTAATCTCTTTTCAGGCACAACTTTATTCACTTAGCATTCACTTTATTCAAATATTATTACTGTGTGAGTCACTCTTCTAGGCACTGGGGACAAGCAGAGTACAAAACAAACAAAAGTATGTGTCCTAATAGAGCTTATATTTTGAGGATGGGGGCACACAATAAACAAGTAAAACACTGAAATTTTAAATAGGTTGGTTAAGGAAGCTTTCTCTAATAAGCCAGACATCTCCTTCAGAAAATGGAGAACTTCATTTTACTACATATGCCTTGACCCAGATTAATTCCAAGAGGTAGCATTGTGGTCCACACTTTAGATGAGAATACTAAGGCCAAAAGGAAAAGTAATGTTTTCAAACTCACATAATACCAGTACAGGATAGCAGCCACTAGTAATAGAATATTCCCTTCCTGGTTCTGCATCTGTAAAATAGGTTTCTGGAGCAGGATAGTTCCTATTTCAGAGGGTTATGAGTAGTATTCAGTGAAAAGATGCACATCTGGCCGGCTTGGCTCAGTGGATAGAGTGTCGGCCTGCAGACTGAAGGGTCCCAGGTTCGATTCCGGTCAAGGGCATGTACCTTGGTTGTGGGCACATACCCAGTGGGGAGTGTGCAGGAGGCAGCTGATCGATGTTTCTCTCTCATTGATGTTTCTAACTCTCTATCCCTCTCCCTTCCTCTCTGTGGAAAATCAATAGAATATATTTTTTAAAAAAAGAAAGAAAAGATGCACATAGTGTGTGAAGCACTAACCCTGGAACAAAGTAAGCATTTAATGAATGTTTCTGAATAATAATCATTTTCTGTTTCAACGTTCAAAAGATCCCAGGAAGTCAACATAGAGAATCAGGGACATTTATTGGAGTATGTCAACAGAGAACACAGGAGATAGGAATAAGTATTAGGGGCTTGAAAGTGGGCTGGGAGTACAGGAGCCCATCCTGGGAGAATGATCAGGTCCCAGGCCTGTGCTGAAGAATTTGTCAGGGAGTACCCAGAGGTATGGTGAAGGAGAGGTAGTCCCCAAGGGCGCCCCAACGGGGCCGGTAGATCTGGAAGATGGTGATCCAGGTGGTGAGTATAATCACCCAAAAAAGGAAGCCCACAGCAGAGCGCCAGACATCTGTAAAAGGCAACAGGAGTGGGTAAGGTTGGCTTCCACCTGCTCTCTGGTCACCTCCAGACAAGTTCTCTCTTTTCTTCCACGGAGCCCTAGAAATCTGGAACTTCTTTCATCCCATCCCACCAGAGCTCCACCTCCCCACCTCCCCAGTGGCCTTCTTTCAACTGTACCCTGGACTCACAGCCTTTGATTTGGCTCTGCTCTGTGTATGCAGGGACAAGGAAGGCCTCTCGGAAGAACCAGAAGATGTTGACCAACCAAAGAAAAGGCAGGAAAGCAAACCCACCTAAAGAGAAAAAAACCAAACTAGGACATAAGACAATGAGTATCCTCCCCAACGCCCACTTAGATGACTTATTTGGAAAGTCCTTCTCCCACACCCAAGTTCAATTGAGATCTCTGCTATTAAGGACTCTGATATCAAGACTCCTCCCTGGGATCCAGGAATTTGATTCCTCAGCCATCTCTTTGTCAGGATCCAGTAGTCCAGCCCCCAACTCCCCTCTTGGGACCAATAAGCTCTTGAGGCCCAGCGTCTCCCTCCTCAGGACCCAGTTCCTTCCCTTAGAGCTCGCGCTCCCAGCCGCTTCATCCCTTAGACCCAAGCATCCGGCCCTACAGACTTTATTCCGTCCCCTCTCTTCTCCTGGGACCCTAGGAGACTGGCCCTTACCCAGGTAGTACTTGCGGCACAGGTTCAACTTCTCTTCGTTGGACACCCGCTCCAAGTTCATAGTGGCGCTAGGGCTAGGTCGTTCCGTGGGTCTGAGGGGCAAGACACTGAGATGCAAGGATCGCGAAAATCCACGCCCCTTTTACGACAAAACAAAGATAAATTCAAGGGTGGGTTTGCTGAAAGTAGGGCGCCCCCGCCCCCACCAGCAAGTTGATTGGGTTGAGACGCTCTTGATGTTTACTGGGGTGCGTGAAACGACCCCCATCTCACCAGTGGAGTTTACTTCCTCCGGGTAGATGCCTTTGCCACTTTCAACTTACGGACGTTTGCGTGTGATGCCGCAAGGATCTCTGGCGTTTGTAGTCTTTTTTTATAGGCAGCGCTGCACGCATGCGCTCTCAGGGAATTTCTGTCGGTGATTCTGTGGAGAGGGCGCAGGCTTCCAACACGCAAGCGCATTAGGGAGTTGCTGAGCGTGCTAAGCAAGACGAAGCAGCGAAGAACTACACTTCCCAATGTTCTGAAGCAACGGAAGTGACTTCGAGCCAATCGAGTTGGAGAGTTCGGGTAAAAATGGCTGAATTCTTCAATATTCGGGACTGAGGACAAGTGGAAACGGGCGCAGGCAATATCCTATCGGGGTTGCTGGGCGGCGTGGGACAGTATTTCTGGGGTATCCAGCCCTCAGCTCACCTCTGTCTTTGCACCCCTTCCAGGGTTAACTGCTCCTTTTACTTTAGGATCGGGGCCTTCCGGCATGGGGACCAATGCTCCCGGCTTCCCGAAACAAACTTTCAGGCTGGTGAGACTTGGCACGGAGCCTGGAGGGTTAAAGCCTCCCGGCTGTTCCCCTTCCGTTGTCCATCATCCCGAGGTCCCGCCTTTTCCGGATATCTTAGGCCCACCCTACTGCCCGGCTTTTTTCTTGTCGGACCTCTGCTATTCCTCCCTCAACCTACACCCCTCGGTTGTCTCTCACTTCTAGGTCCTCCCTCTGCTGGTTTCCTTAGGGACATGCATCGCTGATGCATTCAAGATGCTTAGGCTTCTTCCCAACATCTTTGCACATAGCCCTGCTCTCTCTGCTCAGGACCCTGCTCCTCTTAATTCTATTCAGACAATAGTGCTGCTCAACCTGTACCGGAATCCACAGAACACCGCCCAAACCGCAGACGGATCGCACTGGAGGGACCATTTCTTGGGGGCAGGACGGACTGCCCTCTGCAGGCCACTTCCTGATTCCACCCTACCCCTTCCAGGTCACGTGCATGAGGTAGAGGTACAAGAACACTATGATAACGTATTTGAGGTGAGGATTGGCAGAGATGGGTTGAGTTGTGGGCCAGGAGTTCAGCTGAACACCTCCTGGTCTCCAGAGGAGGGATCATGGAACTGCAAGAGAAGTACAGGGAGATTGAAGAGATGAATGTGTGTAACAACTTGGGGGACCACCTCGTGGGCAATGTCTATGTCAATGTGCCTGCTTTCCCCCCATTAGAGACCAGAGGTGGAGGCATTTCAGTGCCTAAAGGTCACCACTTAAGCCTCATAGTTTGAGGTCCATCACTAAATCCAGTCCAGCCGCAGAGCTGCTTACAAATCCCCTGAAGGTTTCTGAGTTTGACTACCAAACTTGACCTACTTCCGGCACGAAGAGGATGCTGAGCGGGCAGTAGCTGAACTCAGTAACCGCTGGTTCAGTGGGCAGGCTCTGCATGCCGATCTGTCTCCTGTCACCGATTTCCGGGAGTCATGCTGTCGGCAGTATGAGATGGGGTACGGCAGTAAGGGGGTGGGATGGGCACCTGGAGTTCCAGACTCCTGTGTGTGTATTGGTGGGGCTGTCAATGACAATGTCCTCTTCCACCCATCCATCCTCAACCCAGAGAATGTACTCGTGGTAGCTTTTGCAACTTCATGCACCTGTGACCCACCTCCCGGAACTTCTGGCAGCAGTTCTATTGGTTGGAACCCAGGCTCAGGTATCTCAGGACCAGCCTGCCAAGACTTCTCAAACTCTAGAGCTCCTATAACCTGAGATGAACCTGATTCTATGTCTCAATAACAATATCTCAAGACTTTGGTATCCTAGGACTAGTACTGAGCCCATTCCAAGACCAGCACCTAAGTCCCAACCCCCAAACCATTCTGAATCCCAACTGAAGACCAGCTTGGATCTCTAATCCTGAGATCAGCTCCTGAGCACCTGTCCTAGACCACCCCCAGGAACTCTAGTTACTTCATCACCTGCTCTGCCCCATGCCTCTAACCCAGCCCCCAGCCGTGGGCAAACTACGGCCCGCGGGCCGGATCCGGCCTGTTTGAAATGAATAAAACTAAAAAAAAAAAAAAAAAGACCGTACCCTTTTATGTAATGATGTTTACTTTGAATTTATATTAGTTCACACAAACACTCCATCCATGCTTTTGTCCCGGCCCTCCGGTCCAGTTTAAGAACCCATTGTGGCCCTCGAGTCAAAAAGTTTGCCCACCCCTGCTCTAACCCTTCTCCCCACTGCTGTCCCCAGGTCACGCCCAAGGTCCCATACCTGCCACTGTCCCAAAGAAGAAACTGATGACATTCCCCAGGCCACCAGCAGGGTCACTTCTAAGATCCTGACCCTCTTGCCCTCCACCCCTAACAGGTAGATAGGTTCCTCTCCAGGACCCCTCCTCAAAGCTCCCTTAACTCCCCAGGGCCATCTTCCCCAGCCCCTAGTCTGCCACCCCTCCCCGAATAAAGTTCTGTATTTTGAGTTTGAGTCTAGCTGCGGGCTGGAGTTTCCTTCCACCCCCACATCCGACGAAAAGGGGAAGTAGGTTGGGCTCTAGCCACAACTGCAGTTGAAGAACTTCAAACAGGTGGAAAATTATTGGACTCAGGGCTCAACGCCCTAGAAACCCTCAAGTGGGACTGGTGGAGCGCCTTCGTGCTGGAAACTTCATATCCATCTGAGGCTTTTCAAAGGGAAGACGCCTAGTTGTGGCAGATTGGAGGATTCCCAACCCAGAGGAGTTTGGGGTTAGGATCTAAGGTAAGGTCACTTGAAATTGAGTTGGAGTCTTCAGTAAATGAGGGCTGGGTCCTCCATCCCTGATTCCCTGAAGTGGGAGTCAGTAATACCTAATACTTAAGCTTGCCATATACCAGGTGCTGCCCTAAGAGCTTTACTTCTAATAAGGGTTTTTTTTTTAAATCACTTTTTATTTTTCAATTATAGTTGACTCTAGTAAGTTTTAGTTCTCCACAATACCCCTATGAGACAGGTGGTATTAGCCTACTATACAGATGGAACATGGCAGATATGGGATATGAATCCACAGACTGGCTTCAGAGCCCTTGCTCTAGCAATCTTGAGGCCTTGTGGTTTCTGATAATGGGTCAGGAGCTGGACTGAGGACTGGGAGCTGGGTGTAGGTAGGTTCCCGTCCTATGTCCCCACATTCACTGTTTCCTTCTTCTCCCTGATTTCCTGGGAAATTGGCAAGGGCACTGTGGCCGGAAGTCCTACAGTCTCGGGCCCCCAGGCTGCACGCACCGCTGGGATGAGGCCCCAGCACCTCTTGTCTGCTGCGCTGTTCCTGGCCCAAGCGGTGCCACATGAAGCCTCGCAACACTGCAACCGTCTTGAGTACTGGAACCCTGACAACCTGTGCTGTGGCAGCTGCCTACAGCGCTTTGGGCCTCCCCCATGCCCTGGTGAGGAGCTGAGACTGGGCGTATACCTATATCTACCTATGCATATGTTCAGGCTGATTGAGGGGGTGATAGAGATCCCATGAAGGAACAAGGTTTGGGGGCTTGCTTCTAGGTAGGGGCAGTGGGCTTTAATCAGTAAGGCAGGTATGGGGGCTAAGCCTGTGAGAAAGGTTGGAAGCAGGATCCAGGCAGAAAGGGGTGAGCTATACAGATCAATCCCAGCATGGGCAGAGCTTGGTGTGGAAGCAGGAGGGGCATGAAGGGTAAGGAACCTGTGGAGCCTTTTGAGACTAGCAGGGCTAGTGTGGGGAAGGGAGAATGGAGGGGTGAGCATGTCTGCTGATGGGTGGATAAAGTCCAAGGGGTGAGGCCCGCTAGGATAGGACAAAAGGGAAAGGACCTTTTAGAGGTGGGGCTTGGAAGCCACTTACAAGCCTTGTCTCCCACTAGACTATGAGTTTTCAGAAAACTGCGGGCTCAATGACTTTGGTGATCATGTAATGCACCCCTTCCAAGAGTGTCCTCGTGGGCAGTGCAATCCGGACCTCGCAGAGCTATGTAGCTTCTGTGGCAGCGGAACCAGGGCCCCTACTCCCGAGGGAAGCCGGCAGCGCTGTGGAGAGGTGCTTGTCTGGCTCAGACTGCATGGGCAAAGGTGTAGCCTGCCAGAAGTGGGGTGGGGTGTAGAGGGCATGGTTTGGGATTGGGATTGGGTGGGCAGGGTCTGGATCAGAGGTGGTGGTGTGGCTAGCCCCACTGAAGAGGATAGGGGTGGGGACATTTGTATCTGGGGGTGACCAGCTAGGGTTAAAGTAGTACGGGGGGGGGGGGGGGGGGCGGGCGTCTGGATCAGGCGAGGACATGGCTTATAAGGATGAAAAATTTGGGCTGAGGGAGGCAGAAGTGGGGTTTGCCTCCAGCTCTACTCCTATTCTCAGAAGCCTGCCCCTACCAAGGAGCCCTGTCCCCTGAAGCCTGAAACACCCAGCGTCCTAAGCTCACAGGAGACCAGCTCACCAGCCATTTCCAGCCCCCCTCGAACATCTGAACACACCATCCCTTGGCAGGCCTTGCTGACTTTTGCCCTGCCCCTGGTGCTGGTTCTGCTCGTGACCTCAGCAGCCATCCTCCTGTTCGCCCGGAAAAGGCACAGTCCCTACCTCCCCTATCCTGGCTCCAACACCTCTGGAGGCTCTCTGGTGACATCGGAAGCAGGTGACTCATGGGTTTCTCTGCTCCCACTCCTGGCGGGGGGGGGGGGTTAGTCCCAGACATGCTGAGGGGAATATGGACTGGAAGCCCAACCTTCCTCCCCCTCATCCCTCCCTCTGTTTCCCAGAGCTGCCAAATCTGGCATCACAGCCCCTGTCTCGCCTTCTGGATGAGTTGGAGGTGCTGGAGGAGCTGATTGTGCTGCTGGACCCTGAGCCTGGGCCAGGTGGGGCTTTGGCCTGTGGTACTACTCGACACCTGGCTGCAAAATATGGACTGCCTGCTTCCTGGTCCACCTTTGCCTACTCACTGCGACCCAGTCACTCGCCTCTGCGTGCCCTCATTGAGATGGTGGTGGCAAGGGAGCCCTCTGCTTCTTTGGGCCAGCTTGGCACACACCTGGCCCAGCTAGGGCGGGCAGATGCCCTGCAGGTGCTGTCTAAACTTGCCTGATCTGGAGCTCGCCTGGCCTAGTACTCAATAAAGTTTCCCTTGAAATTAAGTGCCTGCTGTGTCCTGGACTCATTAGGAGCCCTCTTGAAATAGTCTTAATCGGGCCAAGACCCAGCAGACATTCTTATCCCCCACCCAGAATAGGGCCCATTCTATCACAGAAGACCAGGTGTGGGAGAGCTGGTCTCAGTGCTTCTGGGCAATCAGGGTCCCCTCTTGAGGAAAACTCCCACTACCCAAGAGGGATCCACAGGCATCCAGCTGGGTTCTAACTTACAGTACATAAAACATTTGTTGCTCTGAAGCCTTGACAGACCCCACAATGTACTTCTAATTCTGAACAGTGGCCTCTCACCTGCCTGTTGAGGCTGATGGGCTTCCTTGGTTCAGAATAGGTGTGGGGCATGGAGAAATGGGAGCTCCTACATGCCTCCAGCACCATACAAACTGTAAGACCACCTCTCCAAACATTGACAGACTTTATTGGGGAGGTTCCCACCTGGGATCCCACCTCTTAAATAAAAAAGTGCATAGAAAAGAAGGGATTTAGAAACCTTTGTACAATATCTACATTCTGGGCCCCCAGGGCAAGAAGGGGGCAATTGCTGAGTGGGCTGGAGGGGTAGGGGCAGGGCCCTTGCCACCTGCATGCCCACATTCACCCTGGACATGAGGGTGGGGGTGAGATGCTCTGGGGGGACTAGGGAGCCCCCAGACCAGGGGCAAGATGGCAGCGGGAGGTGTGGGCAACCACAGCTTCAGTTAAGGAACCGACGGCAGCGCTTGGCGCCACAGTTGCAGGGCAGCTTGTTGCTGGCATCCTCAATGGGGAACTTGTAGTCATAGGTGAGCTCCTCACCACGCAGGATGCGGCGCAGGGCAAAGATGACGATGTGCTTCTGGCCCTCCACGTGGATGACTCGAGAGAAGCAGTTGGGCTCACAGGAGTGGTTGATGAAGCGGGCGGCATTGCCATGCATTGTGGCATCCACCACATCAAAGTCATCCATGCGGAACATGTAGCACCCAATACCCTACAGGGACAAGGGAGGGGCAGTTAGATGCTCTGTTCCCAGAGTAGGCCCTGCTTCTCCCACCTCATGACCTGGCAGAGCCCACCTTCCCATCGTAGAACTTCTCCCGCTTGTCAGTCAGCACAGAGCGAATGACAATACCAGAGTACTCAATGACCATCTCGCCAGCATCGATGTTGCGCTTACAGAACAGGCCCCGCCCATGGATGGCAGACCTGCAGGGTAGGATGGGCAAGGGGAGCTCAGGGGGCAGGGGAATAAAACCAGGGCAGCCCCACACCAGGGCACCTGTCATCCTCCCAAGGGGCATCCTCCCCCCAACCCCACTAACCTGTAGACACCTACAGCCTCTTTGGATGTCTTTTTGAGGTGGCGAAAGCGCATGGCCATGGGAAGCTCCAGGCTGGTGGCACGTCTGGTGGGGGACAATAGTATCACAAAGGCTAGTGCCCAGAAATGATCTCTTTAACTTATTTTTTAAATATATTTTATTGATTTTTTTTTTAATATATATTTTATTGATTTTTTACAGAGAGGAAGGGAGAGGGATAGAGAGTTAGAAACATCGATGAGAGAGAAACATCGATTAGCTGCCTCCTGCACATCTCCTACTGGGGATGTGCCCACAACCCAGGTACATGCCCTTGACCGGAATCGAACCTGGGACCTTTCAGTCCGCAGGCCAACGCTCTATCCACTGAGCCAAACCGGTTTCGGCCTTTATTGGTTTTTTACAGAGAGGAAGGGAGAGGGATAGAGAGTTAGAAACATCGATAAGAGAGAAACATCGATCAGCTGCCTCCTGCACACTCCCTCCTGCACACTGGGGATGTGCCCGCAACCCAGGTACATGCCGTTGACCAGAATCGAACCTGGGACCCTTCAGTACTCAGGCCGACGCTCTATCCACTGAGCCAAACCGGTTAGGGCGAAATGATCTCTTTTGCCCCTGGTCACCCTGTCAGACCCTCCACACTACCCCAGCTCCCTGGCCTGTCCTCCATACCTGGTTGACCTGAGCTGTACCTCATCCTCTTCCTCATCACAGGTGGCTCCCTCAGGGAGCACCCTGTGCTGAGAGGCCAGGAAGTTGAACATGTCAAAGGTGCATTTCCTGTAGGTAAAAGAGAAAAATGGACGGAGGTACAGATCCATTCCTTCGAGATGCTACCCTCCTATTCTTGGCCTGGACCTGCTGCTGGCAGAGTAAGAGTAATACAACTACTACTGAAGACAAAGCAGGGGGGCAAGAGATCAACCAAAGGACTTGTATGCATGCATATAAGCATAACCAATGGACATAAGACACTGGGGGATAGGGGAGGCTAGGGGACTGTCTAGGGCGGGGGGGAAAAATGGACACATATGTAATACCCTTTGTAATACTTTAAGCAAAAACAAACAAACAAACAAAAAAAACAAAAAAAAATTTACATTCTAAAAAAAAAAAAAAAAAAGACAAAGCAAAAGGGGAATGAATGAGGTTCATTCTGATATGACCCCCTAGAAATAATTCCTGGAATGGCCTAGCGTCTTCTCCCAAGCCTCAGTTTCCAATCTGTACAGACTTAATTCCCACCCTCAAGACTGCCAATAGGGTTCCCCCGACCCAGGCATCACACCCCAGACCTCTCACCGAAGATAGACCTCGGCGCGGGCTGCCCCATGGGGATTCAGGGGTGGCTCCTCCTGGCCTTCTCCCTGCTGGTGGTAGCGGAACTTATAGTGCTGGCAGTGCTGGGCCCCAGGCAGCTGCTCTGCCAGGAAGATGACAGCATCATGATGGATGCCGAGGAGCCTTGCTCCACTCATTCCTGAGGGAAGTCAAAGGTGAGGATGCACAAGTCATGTCAGTGACCCATCTTGCTCTCAGGACGTGATCCCAGCCCCCAGCATCCCTGTGGATCCCCCACTTACCACTAAAGGAGAGATGTCTTAGCCGGGCATGCCCTCGGGCCTCTTGCACCTTCTCGATCAGAGTTCTCCACGCCCCTGAGGAGAGGGCAGAGCCACAGCAGAGTCAGGACGGTATTCTATGGCACATTCTCCCTCCCTGTGACCATTAATCCTAACTCACCCTCCAAGCTCTCTGCCTCCACGCTGAACCCATCCTCACTGCTGATCTCGAAGCGCAGATGTGGACCAGCCCGTTTTGGGGCCTGGTTTTCTTTATCCTCTGGAAATGGAAGCTCTTCCTCAGAGCTTGAAGCCTCACCTGGTCCCAGGTAGCAGATCAGAGTAGGTAAGGATCACCCCTCATGGAGTCAAAACCTTCCCACTGCCCTCCCTCACTCCCTGGCACAAGCACCGACTCTGGGTCTAAATGCCTAGTGAACCCTACAGACCAAACATTTTTTCTAAAGGGTCTGCGGTTCCCTTTCTGCAGGACTTCTTGGTTACATGAGCAGTTCCACGGAAGTTTGGAGTGTTTTGGCTCTGCAGGATATACTGTGGCTTACTCAAACCCAATCTACCATAAACACCCACCCCTCATTCTTTTGTCTCACATAAAATTAAAAATATTGGAGAATTAAATTTTGCACAAGTATATTTTTATATACAGCATACTGCTATAAATATTACACATGATTTTATAGAACCATACAGAATCAAATACATGTACATTATGAGCTATTTAAGGGATTTCTCATGGGCTAAGATTTTAAAGACAGAGCAGACAGGACTTACTGACGTAGGAGATGTAGATGTAAGAGAAAGAGGTGGTGGGGGGGGGGTGGTCAAGGAAAACTCTGAGGTTTGGAGCCTGAGCAACTGAAAGGATAGTGATAGTGAGACTGGAGGAGAAACACGTTTTGGTAAAGGTCGAGAGCTCAGTTTGGAACATGTTGAGTCTGAGATTCCTCTTAGAAAACCATTCCTGGCAACTTGCTGGTGGAGATGGCAAGCAGGTACAAGGAGTGGATAGCAACTTGGGGACTATCAGAATTAGAAATGGGATTTAGGGCCATGAAATTAGATGAGAGCACCCTGGATGTGCCAAAGCTGACAGGCTGGGGCAATGAGGAGGCACAATTGGAGGTGAGGAGAGGGATGGGATTCTGGAAGCCAGGAAAGAGAGTGCTTCAGAGGGGAGGGATCAGCACACTGAATGCTCTTGGTTGAAGCAGGATGTGGACTAAGGACTGGTTGGAGTGGGGGTAGAGTTTGAGTGAGCACACTTTAAGAGAGGCAGGATACACATGGTTGCTCTTTTCTCCACATCACTTCTCTGGGCCAACATGCCCACATGACCTCCCAGCCCTACACAAGACTCTAAACCTTGTTGTTGTGTGACTCACATCATCTCTAGGCCTCAGTGCTCCTGGGTCTACCTCTGACAACTTCTTCTACCTCTTCTTAGCCCTCTCCCATCCTCACTCCACTCTGTTCTTTGAACACAACTCATTGCCTTCTTTCTCACAGTGCTCATTCTAAGCTGCAGTGCACTAATATGTACATGTCTGCTTCCTCTACCAAAATGTGGTATGTTCCCTAAGGGCAGTCGAGACTGTCTTGTCATGGTCACTGCCATATCCTCGTGCCCTCTCTGACCCCATAAGCAGCCTTTCAGTTAAGCAGTTTCAGTCTACCTCACCCCACTTCCATGCTCAGCAGCTGTATTCTATACAATGACAAAATCCACAGGTCAGAACAGGACTGGGGCCACTAGAAATTCCAAACCTCGGGCTGCTAATTACCAGCTTTCATGGTTCCCACAGCTCTCTCTGCCCTCCGTGACCTACAGAATACTTCTCTTCTGGCTTCACTGAGATTATCAGCCAAATGACTCCAAGTGTCCTCATCCTGTATACTGATGTCTCTGCAGATACACCTAACTTCACCTTTCTTCCATCTCAGGGGTCTACTATTCTACCTGACCACCATGCCTCCTCTCACCTCTGCCTTCATCCTTGGCTTTGCTGTTCAGCCCTCACAACAAACCCCTATAAGCTGTTGGCCCACCTCCTCCTCCCAGACTCTTAGCTAAGCTTTTCGGTAAAGCATCTGGGTGTTGTTTTGACTTCCTCATTAACCATCGTCTTTGATTCTGGACTTTGGCCCACACAGTACATACCAATCCTAGACCCTGCAACCCTAGGGTCCTCTATGGCAGTTGGGACTGCTGACTACTCCCTTCCCTGGCCAGTGGGACTCCACACTCCTTTGATCTTCTTCCTATGGTTCTTGCCCCTTCTCTGGGTCCTAGGTGGGACCCATCTTCTCTGGATAATCCAGAACTTCATCTTTGGTTTTACCAGATAACTAACCCTCTGACTC